GTTTTGTGGAGATTTTAGAAATTTCACTGGTTGAAATCATGAGTCAAATGAAGCTAGACTACTATGGAAAACCTGGAAGCATCGGAAGGCCTTTTCGTCCTATTTTGTGACTCATCAGCAGTGTGCTTCCGCGACCTCGACTGGCGGGATTCGAACCCAGGACCTAACGGTCTCGCGCCAGGCGCTCAACCAACTAAACCACTGAGCCGGCATCCAACAGTGTTAATTTCTAATTTCAACCAATCCACGAAGATGCGCCATTGTCTTCAGTGACTGATAGGTCCTAGGTTCGAATCTCGCGAGGAGCGGAATCATGGATGCGCACTGCTGAAGAGTCCCATACTAGGAGGAAACGGCCGTCCAGTGCTTCCGGGTTTTCCATGGTGGTCTAGCTTCAATTGACTCATGATTTCAACCAATATATTATTGTCAGGATCGATCAAGATATAGGAAATGGAAACTTGTTGAAATACTTTGTGCTGAGAATTCTGTATTGTACCGAAAATGTTTTATTGAATAAACTCATCCATGATACTATGTTGTTCAAATGGTAATTTTCTAGAAGAAAGTTAAATAATAATATCGATTTCTGTGTTAGACAATAATATACTGATGAACCAATCAGATATAAGGTAAGAGGTCTTGAGTTTTCGCAGCTAATTCATTCATCCATTTAGCTGTATAGGTGTGGATTTATCCGCAACGTTTCCATGTAAGCTTAATGTATCTCCCAGTGTAATAAAGGTCATGTCTGCGTTCATGTAATCATAGAATTTGTCATTTCTTATTAAATAACTAGATAATGACGTGAATTTCGCTCTGGTTGTAATTTTTTATTTCTCACATCCGACGGCGTTACACTGTACGTTCATTGCATGCTGGGATGATATCCCAAGTCATAGTAAGTTTAATCACATCGTTGATTGTTTCCAGATAGACTGTCAGTTCATAATGTTACTGAAGAGAGGTTTATTGTGCTGTAAACTATGTTTTAATGAACAACTGACTGTTGTCTTTAGTCTCAAAACAATATCCTCAGTCTTCTGCTAGATAAGTTTAACTGGCCTATAGTTCGTGTTTTGGGTTTATCAGCTGAATTATGTACATTTAACTACTTTGAGCAACATGTCTGTGCAAATGAAACAATAATTATGACACTTGCTTAGTTTAGTACTCTCGGTTGTCGTATAATTCAGTTTAGTCTATAGAATTATAGAATACTTAAGTATAGTGCTTGAAGCCTGTAACGAAACAGATCAGTTTAGTAAGTAGAGCTGCCTGTTTTTAATGAGTATACTGATTCAAATTAGTCTGATTAAAAATAGGAAAAAGAGTGCCCCTGTTGGTGTTGTATGTTGAATCCAAGCAAACAACTTCAGAGATTCGCTTATACGTTTCCATTTGCTCGTACGTACTAAACGCTATACTTATGACCTGGTTAACCACACCATCATAACAAACGAATACTTTCCCACTGTTGCGTAACGTTAAAAGTACGTCGCTTAAACTTCCATAACCTAAAAAAACCGTAGATATATGGGATAAGCTTACGTTCGACAACTTTATATTTTAAATTATTAACATATTTCACCGTTATTGTCTTTCCAAAATGGTCTTCTGCATACTTAACTATTGAATCTGGATTACTCCCAGTCTCAACCATCGGTATTACGACGTTCAACTGATCTTGATTTAATCTTCTGAATCAAGGATAATTTTTAAGCATATTTCATCACAAGGATGGTTATGTATCATTTTCGATGACGCTATGACGAACCATTTGACATCATACCACAAACGAAACGTGGTCTTGCAACCAGTAAACTTTGATCTATGAAAATTAAGAATAAGAATAGTCATTTACCCTTTTACTCTGTGACCATGGCCCTCCGGCTACTTTTTATGGCCAAAAGAACATACATACACTAAATACTTGTAACGAATTTCCTGCTTTTCTTTGTTCCGCTTGCTTTTACGTACTACGTAATGAGTCCAACTCATCTATTACTTTTATATGGTGTATTATTAATAACAAACCTTCTGCAACAGATCGATAGCTTCTCTGACTTGGTCCAGCTTGTCAGGTGCCTGGGTCTCATAATCCTTTCGAAAATATCACTGGTATCCACAGCTACTGGACACTCAGTATTAGTTTGACTCGTTGATGGAGTAATGTGATCCATAATACTGCAGAAAATAACAAATCGGAGACTGTTTTGTTTCATTCCGTTCGATAACAATAAATAACACTTAGGAACGAATATGCGGACAGTTAGAGTTCCATGCAGCAGCAATACTTATTTTAGCTAAGAAAACTAACTTCGGCCCTCGATATCTGAAAAAAGTACTCAAAACAAAACGGATCAACATTTTGTAACATAAGACTAACCAGCTTGCCTGAAGAAATACATTGACTTGAATAGTAGCAGCAAAAACCCAGAAAACAATGCTGAATCAAAATAAATTTTACGTCAACATTTAGAACATTACACTAACTGCGGCATTCTATCACACTGAAACATTAAATTATGTAGTTACACCAAAGAAATAGCTGAAAAGACAAAGAATGTGGTAAGCCGACCGCCATTGCTTACAAAGATGGTAGATATAATAATTCCCGGCTTCATTCTGATTGGTTGCTAAGTTGACTGCCACGTTTACGAAATCGAGTTGCGTTTAATAGCAGCCCTAAATAACATTTTAACATTTTAACTGATGTCAGTTTGTGAATGAAACTCCTAAATCTAATTCCAAGCCCTATCAACTTTAAGTCATAATTATAATTTCTTACATTGATTTATAACTCTCATTTCGTTCTAATGAGCAGATATACGTTCTTAAAGTGGATTTAGCATCTCTGAAAGGTCGTCCATAAATTATAATCTCACCAATTTCTGATTTAAATATGATCTCATACACATATATGGGATGATATAATGACTATGATTGCGAAACGAATGAATCTCTAAAAGTCATTAATTATCTCATCGAATTTAGTGTTTTATATTAAATTATCTACGTCATTTTCGATGAAACCTAATTACGAAGACAATTATCTACGTTTCAGTTATTCAAAAGACTTAACTTTATATAGAATTATAAGCAACGATGTATGGTGGCTAACAGTGGGATCCAGAACATGCATTTCGTCTTATTTGGCATTCCTCAGTTGGATATACCTGTATCCTAGAGTTTATGTTCACTCCAGGAATCCACTATCCATCACTATTTATAAAGTTTATGATTTAAAGCAATATCGTGACAATCTACACAGGATGCACATATATATCAATAACAGACTGATCAATTGCTGTCTTAAACATCAATGACAAGATTCAAGCAAACAATACCATGTGAATTTAAATTCATCCAATTGCACAAGCAAGTGGCTATCAGGACTCAGTAGTTAAGTGGATAACGCCGATTGCGTTTGAAACAATGTTCTATTGTAAATTTGAATACAAATAAAAATCAGAAGAGAATTGTTTTGTTGTATATCAGTATACAGAGAGAGAGAGAGAGAAAAAGAAAGAGGCTCATTTATTTAATAGTTGTGTTGAAACTAGACCATCGTAACAAACCTGAAAGTACTGGACAGCGGTTTCGTCCCATTGTGGGACTCTTCAACAGTGTGCATCCACGATCCCGCCTCGTGGGATTCGAAACCAGAACTTGTTGGTTTGGCGTGCGAACGTTTAACCTGCAGATCACTGAGTGACACATCTATCAATGTCTTCAGTAAGTTATTATCTCATAAAAGACCCAGTTGAACTCCACTGGTCACTGCTTCTAACCAGAACTCTATAAAATATCTCTTGAAGTCAGTCACTAGTGTGCATATATTGATTAATATCAGAAGGGGTTTTGCAGAGATTTTAGTAATTTGAATAGTTGAATTCATGAATCAATTAAAGCTACACCTCCATGGAAATCCTGAAAGCACTAAACGACTGTTTCATCCTAGTATTGGACTCCTCAACAGTACGTATCCACAACATCGCCTCACGCGCGAGACTGTTAGGTTTTATTACAAGTACATTTATAAAGCGAAATGAATTCTTATGTGTATTTTATTTATTTATTTATTTGTGCGTGCGTGCATGCATGCGTGTGTGCATACGTGCGTGCATATATACATGTGTGTATGTATTCATATTTTTATTTGGCGTCTATTATTCTATATTCATGAACAAAAAATGGCGCCAATTAAGATAACAGTAATATTCTATATTATACTTTATATATCTCTTATACATTATAACACTTTTCCCCGTTTGATTATAATACATAAAAGATTTTATTGGTTATAAGTGAATTACATTCCCCATTGGTTTATCTACCCTTTTCTTTACCTTTAACATATTTTACATCCATCCATAGAAGACACCCTATTAACACCCTATTCATTTACATAATAACAATTTTTTAAAGTTTATTTTCGTTGTTTGTTTGTTTACTATTCTCTTCTCAAATATGATATGGCACCGTATTTAATTTATCCAATCATTATAAACAATAATCATAATAAACTATTGAAATAGGAAAATTAAATAGTTAAGATGAAAAAAATTAGTAATAACAAGAACAACAACAACAACCACAACGACAACCACAACAACAACAACTTGCTATTGGTTTATATATTTACTTAATGAAACTAGATTGTAAAACCAAAAAAGAAAAAAAACACTGTATGTGTGTGCATACATGTGCGTCTGTGCGCGCGCGTGTGTGTTCGGTCCTCCTAGTTACAAAAGTAGGAAAAAAATGTTGTTGTTGTTGTTGTTGTTGTTGTTGGGTAACATTACATATATATAAATACTGAAGAAACTTCATTATTAATGAATGAATGAATGAAGAATTAAATAATATACAATACATTTATATATACATATATATATACATATCAATCAGAATAATTCATTTATTCATTCAATCTATCTAAACTACTTATTTACTTAAATGGAAATTGTATGATTATTTTTTAAAAAAAAATAAATATGATAATTAAATATTATATAATTTATTTATTTATTATTAATGATATATTATTAATATTAAATAATTTCATTTATGTCTATTCAATAAATAATCAATTATTCAATGAAAAATCAATGAAAAAATCAATAATCAATCATACAATGTTAATAAATAATAATAATCATAATAATAATGGTTATTGGTTTAATAAAGGTATAGAATATCATTTATGTACTCAATCTATAATAAAAAATTATAATTATTTATTATTTATTAAAAATCAATATAAAGATTGTGATAAATTATCAATACAATTATTAATAAATAATAAAATTGATTTAATCAATAAACATAATAATAATAATCAATTAAATTATGAATTATTAATGAAAAAAATTATATGTATATTACAAAAAATTAATTGTCCTATTAATGAGAAATCATTTCAAGTAAGTCAATAATTAGTTACTATAGTATTAATTGATTTCCTCTTTGTATGTGTGTGTGTGAGTGTGTGGATTGATTGATCTCGGTTCATGAGCGTTTGCATGCCAGATCAAAGATTCTGATGTTGATCAAATGAGTGATTTAAAGGTTAAATATATGAGCCTAAAATTTTTAGGTCTTGAATTCGAATCCGAGATGTAGGATCATCGATGCGCATTGTTGAGGAGTTTTATATAGTAGGATTTCCATGTATTCCAAAGTAGTCTAATTGTAATCGATTCATGAATTTAATTATTAAAATGAAAAATGTTTAAAGGTATTTTATAAAATCTACAAATTGTCACCTCTAGAGTATCATCATCATCATCAATAATGATAAGAAGAATCAAGTAAATTGTGAATTCTTATCAGAAGGGGTTTTGTGAAGTTTTTAAAAATTTCACTAGTTGAAATCATGAGTCTATTGAAGTTAAACCACCATGGAAAACCTGAAAGCACTGGACAGCCGTTTTGTCCTAGTATGCAATTCCTCAGTAGTGCGCATCCACGATGTCGCCTCGAGAGATTCAAACCCAAGACCTATTAGTTTTGCATGTGAGCGCTTAACCAACGGTGTTAAGTTCTAACTTCAAGCAATTCACGTAATTGCGCCACCGTACACCATTGTCTTCAATGAGCTGATATGTCACAACAGATCTGGTTGAACTCTACTGGTAACAGCTTCTCACTAATGATCTAATGGTCAAGCGCTCACGCGCGAGACTGGTAGGTCTTGGGTTCGAATCTCACAAGGGGCGGGATCGTAAATTATGAATTAGTAATGAAAAAAACAGTTAGATTACAAAAACTAGTTACCCTTTAAATGAAAAATCATTTCAAGTAAGTAAATTGGATAATTATGCTAGTTACTATACTGTTTATTTATCGAACACAATTTTTTTTGTATATGTAGATTGATTGAAGTTAAATATTAACAATGTTTAGATGATGACCGAATCAGTGATCAAGAGATTGAAAATTCACGCACACGAAACGAACGGGTCTTGAGTTCGAATCTTTTCGGTGAGGGATCGTGGATGTATGTTGTACCAGGACGAAACAGCCTTTTAGAGTTTCAAAGTTTTTCATAGTAGTCTAACTTTAATTGGCTAATGGATTCAACTATTAAAATATCATGACTGATATACTACTTAATATACTATCTGAGTTTCATGTCAATTATAATATTTGTTTTGTGAAAATAAACCGAATCTGTTATGACACAGTAACTCACTGAAGACAATGATGGATGATGCCGCATTTTTGTGGATTAGTTGAGGTTAGACTTTAACACCGTTGGATATAGGCCAAACCGATTGTCTAGAGGTTAGGCGTTCGTGCACCAGACCGATAGGTCCTGAGTTCGAACCTCTTCGGTGCGGGATCGTGGATACGTACTGTTAAGTAGTTCTGTGCTAGGACTTTCCATGGTGTTCTAGTTTTAATCGACTAATGGATTCAGTTATTGAAATGGAAGTTGTTTAAAGTGAAATTCAGGATGCGCGATACAACATCCTATTTGGGACTCGTCAACTAGATGTACCTGCATCTCACAGTTGATGTTCACTCTTTGACTCCATCACAATACCGTTTCCTTGAAACGCCATCGTGTTATCCACTTATCTACTGAGTCCTGATAGCCACTTGCTTGTACAATGTGGTGAAGTTAAAATTCACTGAATATTGTTTAATTGTATCTTTCCATTGATGTTTAGGAGTGCTATTGATCAGTCTCTTATTAGCATATGTGCATCCTGTGTGTATTGCCTCAACATTACCTTAAGTGGATAACACAATGGCGTTCGTAGAAATCGATAAGTTATGTGTTATTTAGACTTATCTTTTATTAAGTCAAATGAAAGGAATTCACTTCTGAATAATGTAGGAATTGATGATATGGCCTAGAAAGACAATGAAATATTCACAATTTCACTTTGTTGTTTAGTATTAAGTTCGCTACTTGACTAACACAGAATACACTTTACGACTACGACACTCGAACGTTAGAACTTCACCGTCGCAGATTAGAAGACAGGAGAAAGGTTGAAGAAGTGTTTATTTGATAAGAATTGAAATGTACAGAAAATCACGGGTATTTATAGATATTAGCATTTGTCGAATTAACATTATCATTCGGTCAATCGGCAAAGAGACATATTATGCTACTGACCAATAGTAGCATGCCGCATTGATATTCTAGAAAGCTCCATCATGTTCTGACTGGATGGAAATCTTCGGCTCTTTTAGGGCCTCTGTAGGCTCCGTTATAGTTCTCGGAAGCCGACTCAACATTTAGATCATTCAAAAACATTAGATCCATTCACCTTTATTCTCAATCTTTTTCATTATTTTTATATCTTTGTGGAAATGATGACGAAATTTGATAGGAGAATATCATGGATTAGTAATAATAATAATGAATACTTTCTATGTATAACTTTCTATTACTCTATAGTAACAACATTTTCAAATGATTAACTACCGCAGTAACTCTTTACTTATATCGAAATTCGATTCAATATATGTACAAGTTAATAAGTGGGAAGCAGTGACCAGTGAAGTTCAACCAGATCTGTTATGAGATAGCAACTCACTGATGACAGTGATGGATATGTCACTCAATTTCGTGGATTAGTTGAAGTTAGACATTAACACTGTTGGATACCGGCCAACTCACTAGTTTAGTGATTAAGTACTCGCGCGCAAGACTGACAGGTCCTTGGTTCGAATCTCGCGAAATAGGAATGTGGATGCACACTACTGAAAAGTCCTACACTAGGACGAAACGACCATCCAGTACGTCCAGGTTTTCCATGTTCATCTAACTTCAATTGACTCATGATCTCAACTAGTGAAATTACTATAATATCCACATAACCCCTTCTGATACAAATAAATAAGTGACATCAAAAAATACTAATGAGGTACAAGGAAGTGGGGGGGTTGTCGAGCAATAAATATTTACTACTTATAAACTACTTAAATAAATAACCATTAAAAAGAAGAAAAAAAGTGAATAATAACCATATAACAACTAAAATTTTATCATTTTCATGTATGAATGATGTACATTTTTATATATGATGTTTCTAACTCTAGAAAAATAGGATATTAAAATGGCGCCTACTAGATCATCATATGTATACATAAAAGTATATTGAATATTGAATAGCATTCATTCAATAAGGTAATAGATCATGTTAATGAATTACAAGATGTAGAATATGAGATTAAACTTAGTGAAGAAAATAAAAGTGAAGATAGTTTCTTCATTGGATTTCTATACAAATATTATCTGTATATCTTGTTTATTCATTATGAATGTTCAAGAAAAACGGGTGAAATAATTAACGTTTGGTTAAGTAATGTTATTACTAGGATTATTATTATTAGTAATATCAGTAGTATTAGTAGTGTTAGTCGTTTAGGTCCTAGTAGTAGTAGTAGTAGTAGTAGTAGTAGTAGTAGTAGTAGTAGTAGTAGTAGTAGTAGTAGTAGTAGTAGTAGTAGTAGTAGTAGTAGTAGTAGTAGTAGCAGTAGTAGTAGTAGTAGTAGTAGTAGTAGTAGTAGTAGTAGTAGTAGTAGTAGTAGTAGTAGTAGTAGTAGTAGTAGTAGTAGTAGTAGTAGTAGTAGTAGTAGTAGTAGTAGTAGTAGTAGTAGTAGTAGTAGTAGTAGTAGTAGTAGTAGTAGTAGTAGTAGTAGTAGTAGTAGTAGTAGTAGTAGTAGTAGTAGTAGTAGTAGTAGTAGTAGTAGTAGTAGTAGTAGTAGTAGTAGTAGTAGTAGTAGTAGTAGTAGTAGTAGTAGTAGTAGTAGTAGTAGTAGTAGTAGTAGTAGTAGTAGTAGTAGTAGTAGTAGTAGTAGTAGTAGTAGTAGTAGTAGTAGTAGTAGTAGTAGTAGTAGTAGTAGTAGTAGTAGTAGTAGTAGTAGTAGTAGTAGTAGTAGTAGTAGTAGTAGTAGTAGTAGTAGTAGTAGTAGTAGTAGTAGTAGTAGTAGTAGTAGTAGTAGTAGTAGTAGTAGTAGTAGTAGTAGTAGTAGTAGTAGTAGTAGTAGTAGTAGTAGTAGTAGTAGTAGTAGTAGTAGTAGTAGTAGTAGTAGTAGTAGTAGTAGTAGTAGTAGTAGTAGTAGTAGTAGTAGTAGTAGTAGTAGTAGTAGTAGTAGTAGTAGTAGTAGTAGTAGTAGTAGTAGTAGTAGTAGTAGTAGTAGTAGTAGTAGTAGTAGTAGTAGTAGTAGTAGTAGTAGTAGTAGTAGTAGTAGTAGTAGTAGTAGTAGTAGTAGTAGTAGTAGTAGTAGTAGTAGTAGTAGTAGTAGTAGTAGTAGTAGTAGTAGTAGTAGTAGTAGTAGTAGTAGTAGTAGTAGTAGTAGTAGTAGTAGTAGTAGTAGTAGTAGTAGTAGTAGTAGTAGTAGTAGTAGTAGTAGTAGTAGTAGTAGTAGTACAGTCGATACTTCATTTGCCAACTATTCATCAAGTATCTCAGATCTTGTTGTTCCTTCGTTTTCATATCAATCACTCACTGTTCTTCTCCTTTTCTCTTCTTTTCGATCTTCTTACACCTTCTGTCGTTAATCATTTCACTTTCGATTGATGATAAAGTTTCTTTATTATTAGCTTTATTTAATATAATAGTTTTTGGTACAATATAGAATTCTCAACATCAAGTTTTTCAGTGAGTTTCCCTTTCTTATTTCTTGATCGATTTTGACGATAACATACTGAAAGATCAACGGTTTGATATTAACATATCAGGAGTCGACAACTGAATAATATTCATTCTATTCAATGCATATTTCCAACCATAATGGTTATCTCTGATTTTTAGTGTATTTTATTGTAAGTTTTACAGAGAAAGGTCGTACGCTTTTGATAAACGTGCCTGAATAGGATATACGATTAATAGACATAATGATGCGTTCAATCAAACAAACATAAACAGATAACTTATTGAAATATGTAGATGACGACAGGAATATTTAGCCGAGATATTCAAGTAGGTCGTCAAACAAAATAAATAAAATGTCTTAAAGTTCAAAAGTAAAAGTTTAAATTGTTTAGTAAGAGCTTTCAGCGATTATAAGATAGTGGAGAAGATTTGTACATAATGCAGATGATTTTGATAGATTTATGTTCTTTGAACTGGATGATTTGATCTTGGAGCTTTCATCGTTCTTCTGAACGATATCATCAGTACAAACTTCAAGTAGAAGTGAAATGTTCAGAACGACTCATACCTTGTCCTTTAGACCTCAATCTTGATTGGTCAATCTTCAATAGTAATCAATCAACATTGAGTTTTACAGGACAAGCTGTGAGTCGTTTCGAACATTTCACTTCTACTTGATGTTTGTGCTGATGATATCTTTCAGAAGAACGATGAAAGCTCCACGACCATACATTTAAAGAATGATTACTAAATTTAAGTTAATACTGAAAAGACTTAGTTAGATTACTTAAAAAGAGCTTTATCTATCCTCATAAGAAAAGGATACACTGTTTACAAAGCTTGTTATCTAACTATTTAATAGTGAAAATTTTAATGCCAATGATGTAATCCAGTTTATAAATTATAATGCATTTGGTAAATGACTAGTAACTAAAGCATATTAAATGTTAAGTAATTTAGGATCATATACAATCGATCTATTATTTGATCCTCATAAATTAGCAAAGGTTCATCAATGACGTCATCAATAGATCATTTACATAGTCAGTTTACACTATATCATATCTACTTATTGATTAAATATAACTCAGATAAGTTTTATGATTTTAAAATTTCACAGGTTGAAATCATGAATCAATTGAAGCTAGACCACCATGGAAAACCTGGAAGCACCGGACGGCCGTTTCGCTCTAGTACGGGGCTCCTCAGCAGTGCGCATCCACGAACCCTCGGGATTCGAACCCGGGACCTACTGCTTTTGAGCGCGAGCACTTAACCACCAGACCACTGAGCAGGCATTCAACGGTGTTAATGTCTTACTTCAACCAATCCACGAAGTTGTGACACCGTACACCATTGTCTTCAGTGAGCTGATATCTCACAACGGCCGTCAAGTGCTTCCAGGTTTTCCATGATGGTCTAGCTTCAATTGACTCATGATTTCAACCTGTGAAATTTCTGAAAATCTCCACAAAACCCATTCTGATTTTAAAATTATCTAGGAAATAAGTAAAGATGGATAGTCGCTAGCAGGATGAAACGCTTGTCTTGGATTGTTTGTGAATTAGGGCAGTATTGATGTAATCTGTACAAGATGTACATATGCCAATAAGAAACTGATCAAATGCAGTCGTAATCATCAATGGAAAGATTCATGTAAGCGAAAACCAAGTGAATTTAAACTTCAATCGATTGCACAAGCAAGTGGCTATCCATGACTCAGTAGATAAGTGGATAACACGATGGCGTTTCAAGGAAACTGTATTAGGATGGAGTCACAGAGTGAACATCATCTCTGAGATGCAGGTACATCTAGTTGACGAGTCCCAAAGTCAACGAAATGCGCGTTCTAGATTCTACTGCTAGCCATTATCTATAGTTGTTTAGAATTCTGCAGTTCGCATAGGATGCACACATGTCAATAAGAGTCTGATCTATTGCAGTTCTAAATATCATTGAGGAGATTCATGTAAACAATAACAAGTGAATTTATCTGGGAAATATTTGTAGATAATAAATTGTGCTAAACAATGTCAAGATTATTCTATATTTCATCGTCAGATAAATTCCTTGGCTTGTTACTTATAAACGACAAGATAACCTATTGAAAATGTCGACTTTTCATTACATACATTTTAAACGCATGGGTTATTTGAATAACTTAAATATGCTGAGCATAACCAAACCATAAATTACTTACTTACTTATACCCGTTATCCCCAATGAAGCATAGGCTGCTGACCAGAATTCTCCAACCTTTTCTGTTCTGGACCTTACATTCTAATTCTATCCAATTTTCGTACATTCTTCTCATATCTGTTTTCATTTTTCGGCTTAGTGTGTTCTTTGGTCTTCCTCTCCTTCTTTAACCTTGAGGATTCCAAGTGATGGATTGCCTTGTGACATAGTTGGGTGCTACCCTATCCACTTTCAGCATATCTTTCTGATTTCTTCCTTTAGTGGAATCTGATTTGTTCTTTCCTACAGTAGGTTGTTGCTGATAGTGTCTGTCCAACAGATCTAAAGTATTTTGCTTAGGCAATTGTTAATAAACACTTGTATCTTCTGGATGATGGCTTTAGTGGTTCTCCAGGTTTGGGCCTCATACAGTAGAACAACAAATTGTTTTAGGTGAAATAAATTTAAAACAAAACCACTGTTAAAACAAGGAAATAGATAAGTTTTATAGAATTTTTATCGCTGTATTAAATGTCTGCAACTTGACAAAGCTTTTTAAACACTAGAAAATATAAAATTCGACTAAACAGATAATTATTTATCAATGTAGAGTTGTGGAGATTGTAAGCGTTTGTTTGAGATCATGAATCGATCAATGTTAAGCCACCATTGATAACCTGGAGGTACTGAACTACTGTTTCGCTTTAGTATGGAACTGTTCAGCAGTGCACATCCTTGATCCCACTCCAAAGGGGTTCGAACCTAGGACCTTCAATTCTGCGCGTGAACACTTAACCCCTAGATTAATGAACCGAAATCCAATGGTGTTGATGTATAACTTCAAGCAATCCATGTAATTGCGCAATCATCTTCCACTGTCTGGGGTAGATACCTGTCCCTACCTGACACGAATTAGCTCTACTGGCTTTTCACTAGATTACCGAGAATTACATCACGAAGCCAGTCGCTAGTCAACACATAGTAATTATCAGTATAGGGTTGTGGAGATTGTTAAGTTTTCAGTTGAGATCTTTAATCGATTGATGTTAGACCACCATTGAAAACTTAGAAGCACTGGAAGACCGTATCGTACTAGTATGAGATTCCTCAACAGTTCACATTCACGATAATTATATCGTTTATTGCTTTCTGATCATTGTTATTTCTGCTTCAAATTAACTTAACAAGTAAGTAAATCAACTCTTTCGTTTTAAGATGACAAAGAAATTGATATAGCTCTATGTTAACTTGATTAACTGTCCAAAAATTCAATGAATTCGAAGTAAACTGACGACAGTCTTCAGCTTTCATTATGTCACATCATATTAATATCAGTATCACAGATAAATCATTTAAGAAGACCTCATGAATTAGTCAGTAAATTGATGAACGATGAAAATATGAAAACGTTGTCTATAAAATACGAACTGTATACAAAATATGTAGACTTTAAGTCTGTACATCCTGGGACAGAGTTGGATGCAGAATGTTGGTGTCAGACCTATTCTCCTACATGAAGAATAACAGGTATAAGTAAGTAAGTAAGTAAGTAAGTAAGTAAGTAAGTAAGACTTAATATTTCTCACTGTAGTAGTACCTCAATGAATATTTCGTATTTTATACACGTATTATAGAGGGTAATAACTAATCTCCTGTCTGATTACTCAAATTACTTGAAATTTATTTGAAATTTTAGTCACTGTGACAGTCATGATTAAGGACCAATAAATGATACAATGCTGGAAGGAAATAACAATCTAGTGTTTCATTCATTCTGAGAGACTGTTTAAAGACATATCAATCTTTGATATAGTTTATGGAAATATGTAATGCCCTGATCAATTAACGAACTAGATATGCATAATTTCATGTTCGAAATACAAATATGAGTACAAAAAGACACCATGTATATATGCGCCACACAAATCATTCGATTTAAGGGCTGGGATGCTGTCCAGGTGTTCAGACTGAAGCAGGTGGTTTATCTTAGGAGGTCACACCCGGAACCTTTGATCTGAAAGACTAATTCTCGAAATAGTGGAGCAACTTTAGGTGATGCAGTCCCATAGTAGCCAGTGACCAACTATTGGTTCATATGCCATTTGTTCTCTTAAGATCTTGGAGCCCTGTACATAATTGGGTTTTCCAAATCCCCTAGGTGGGTGTTCCGTGTTCACCAACCCGGTTGAAGAGCCGGATATTCTCTTTTCATCCTCTCGATGTCATAGACAATACACTCGCCATAAGAAGGCAATGAATAGAACTTCCCTGGAAACTGAAGGTTGTTAGGATAGGAAAAGAAAGTGTGATCACCTTGTTGTTCTTTGAATAAGTATGATTTCAACATGACATTGGTTCAGTATAAAACTGATTTTTATTAGTGTGAATTACATTTACTATGACATGTTGTATGAGTTTGTATTAATTCTATGGGAAATCCGCTTTTTCATTTCTCTTATTTCGATTATACCTACATGTTTTTAGACAGTAAATAAAATCTTCTATAGGATTGTAGTGAACCAGAACACAAGTGGGCACAATCGAATATCTTAGTAAAATCTGAGGGACATACAGTAAATTCTTCATTTGTAAAATATCCATCAATCGTCTGATACTTCATTGTTCCTAAGTTTCCACACTAATCATTCACTGTCCTCGTTATTTTCTCTTCGATCTTCTTAAAGTTTTACTGTCAGGTATTTCACTTTCGATTGACAGTACATACTACTTATATCTGTCAACATCAATAGCACACATCACATCATCAGTGTTTTTTTTAAACCCTTTCTCCTTGAATCATAGTAAATTTCCTGTTTTAAATAGTCATTTTATTATGTTATCACAAAGGTATGTAATAAAATTGATTTGCTTCTATATTTAAGCCCTATAGTTTATAATGACAAATATAATTCAGAAGAGGTTTTGTGGAGATTGTAGTAATTTCAACAGTTGAGATCATGAGTCAATTGAAGCCAGGCCACCATGGAAAACCTGGAAGCACCGGGCAGCCATTTCGTCCTATTGTTGGACTCCTCAGCAGTGCACATCCACATTAACACCGTTGGATGCCGGCTCAGTGGTCTAGTTGGTTAAGCGCCTGTCCCGAAACTGATGGGTCCTGGGTTCGAATCCCGCGAGGCATGGTCGTGGACACACACTGCTGAAGAGTCGCAAAATAAGATGAAGCGGCCGTTCGATGGTTCCAGGTTTTTCATAGTAGTCTAGTTTCATTTGACTCACGATCTCAACTGTTGAGATATAATTCAGTTCTGAAAATAATCAGCTACTACTTTTTCTCTTTTTGTTGTTGTTGATTTTGCTGTTGTTTTTGATTTCCAATATGTTCTAGATTCACGATATTCCCTGTCAATCCTCATGTCTATCTCTTCTTTCTATATGTGGACAATTACATAAAACTCCTCAATCATTCTTTATGAATATTCCATCTAGTTGTCCAAATAATAATCTCATTCAAACATCCCATAAAAGATGGATATATGATAATAATAATCATTATTATCAAACAACTCTATCTCCAATACAATCCACTACAAGTTATACTACTAATCAGCATATGCCTAATTCTAAACAATATATTAAATATCCTAATTATAGAACTTATCTCTCATCTAGATCATTCCTTCTAGATGATCATAATGGATATGATCAAATGAAATCAAACTATCATAACAACAATCATCGTTATCCTCGTCAAATCAATATGAATATTAATGATAATCAATATGATTCAGAACAATCAAAACAATCTATGGAATATTTAAATCATTATCATTTAAAAAATTTACCATTTACTCCAACACAACGTAAATTATTATTAACCAAAGAGGATTGTTTATTATTACCACCAGGAGGTTGTGACAATTGGATAGATCCTTCAACGAATTTACAACGTTTAAAAACTTCTAATTATAAAGAATATTTAAAATGTAAGTTAACTAGTTTCCCCCCCCCACAAGTTATCATTATAATAAAATAATAAAGAAAGAATGAAGCTGGAAATAAGTATTTTAAGTAGTATAACTTATATAAGCAAGTGACTATCAAGTTTCAATAGGATAAATGGATAACATGATGATGTTTGAAACGAATGATATTGGATTCGAGTATCAGAGTGAATATCAATTCTGAGATATAGGTACATGTATTTGACGAATCTTAAATAGGATAAAATGTCTAGCATCCTGGATACTACTGCTAGCCACTATCCATCTTTGTTTACAAAGATTGTGACCTAAGACAATATCGAGACAGTTCGCATAGGAAGCACATATGTCAATAAGAGAGAAACTGATCAATTGTAGTCTTAAATAACAATGAGAAGATACAAGTAAAACAACACCAAGTGAATTTAAACTTCACCCCATTGCACAAACAAGTGAATGTCAGGACTTAATAGCTAAGTAAATAACACGATATTGAGTCGGAGTCTCAGAGTGAATATCAACTCTGAGATATAGGTATATCCAGTTGACGAGTCCTAAATAAGATGAAACACGCGTCAAACTGGATTTCAATGCTAACCCCTGCCCATCTTTACTTATAAAGCTTATAACTTCAGACAATATCAAGAGATAGGAACTCACTGAAGACAATGGTGTACGGTGGTGCAACTTCGTGGATTGCCTGAAGTCAGACATTAACACCGTTGGATGCCGGCTCAGTGGTCTAAGGGTTAAGTGCTCACGCGCGAAACCAGTAGGTCCTGGGTCCGAATCCCGCGGGGTGCGTGATCGTGGATGCGCACTGCTGAGGAGTCCCATACTAGGACGAAACGGTCATCCAATGCTTCCAGGTTTTCCACGGTGGTCTAGCTTCAACTGGCCAATGATTTCAACCAGTGAAATATCAAGACAGTTCGCACAGAGAGAGAGACTTATCAATTACAGTCCTAAATAACAGTGGGAAGATACAAGTAAAACAACACCTATTGAATATCACTTACTATGATTATGAAAAATTATGACTGATTTTCAATTTATGACTTTTTTCTTTAGTATCTATGTAATTATTAAATCCTCTAAAGAAAAACTAAAAAAAAATAAAAATAAAAAACCAAGGTCATGTACATACAAACAATTTTCCTATTTCATCGAAAACATAATGAATAGAATTACTTCATGTCTATGTATATATATACATACAACTTGTTAGAATATCTTTATACTTAGGTTAATGTAAATGTATTGTTTATATATAATGTGAAAAGAATTTCATTCACATTTATTGATCCATTAGTACTTACTTACTTACTTACTTATTTACTCCTGTTACTCTTCGGAGAAGAGCATAGGCCACCTACCAGCATTCTCCATCCAACACTGTCTTAGGCAAATTTTTCCAGCTATTTCCAATTGTTATTCATCCTTCTGATATCTGATTTCTATTTCCTGATGTAATGTGTTCTTTAGACTTCCTGTTTTCCGCTTTTCCTTCAAGATTCCATGTTAGGGCTTATCTCGTAATGCAGTTTGATGATTTTCGTGGTGTATGTCCTATCCACTTCCAACGTCTTTTTCTAATTTCCTCTTCAACTGAAAACTGGTTTGTTTTCTTTCACAGTAGACTGTTGCTAATTATATATGGCCAGTGTATGTTGAGTATATTGCGTAGACAGTTATTTATAAACACTTGTACCTTCTTGATGATGGTTGTAGTAGTTCTCCAAGTTTCAGCTCCTTAAAGTAGGACTATCGTGACATTGGTATTGGTTGATAGTTTTTCCGCTTGTAGCTCTTCTAGAGTTATGAATGAAATTCTCATTGATCTTTATTTCAATTTGTATTTTATGTATAATGGGATTTTACATCAGTAGTATATAGCAGTCAACTTTATTCTATCATACATAATTAAATAAAAATTAATATAAATTCATTTGGTATTTGATTGAAATCATGAACTCATTGATGTAAGATCACTATTGAAAACCCAGAAGCATCGAACGGCCATCTCGTTCTATGGTGGGACTCCTCAGCAGTTCGTATCCACGATCTGCTATTTCAAATGGACAGTGGAGCTAATCTATGTCGGTTAGAGATAGCTATATGCCTCAGACAATGGAAGTCGGTCGCGCGATCTCATGGATTGGTTGAGGTTAGACATTAAAACCGTCGGATGTTGGCCATCTCAGTGATCTAGAGGTTAAGCTTTTGTGTGCAAGACCGAGGGTCCTGGGTTCGAATCCCGTGAGCGGGATCGCGGATGTGCACTGCTGAGGAGTTCTGTACTTGGACGAAACAGCCGTCCAGTGATGTGTTAAAACAAACAAGCAAAGAAACAGATAACTTGGTGAAATATGTAAATTATAGGAATAGGTAACCCAAATATTCAAACAACCCACGGTAGTAGACATTAAATAATAAATAAGAAGATAGTGAATTATGCAATTAAAATTAAACGAATACAATTCTAATAAAGGTGAACTATTTCATTTTAGATATTTACATTATTTAAAGTTATTGAAGAAATACCAGACTATTTATCAAAAAGACTATTTACAATCGATTTCAATTATTTTGTTTATTTACAATAGTTACTTACTTACTTATGTACTTACTTACTTACCTACTTACTTACTTACTTACTTACTTACTTACTTACTTACTTACTTACTTACTTACTTACTTTACTTACTTACTTACTTACTGCCTGTTACCCCCAATGGAGCATAGGCCACCGACCAGCATTCTCCAATCCACTCTGTCCTGAGCCTTCTTTTCTACTTCCATCCAATTCTTGTTCATTTTTCTCATATCTAACTCAATTTCCCGGCGTAACGTGTTCTTTGATCTTCCTCTCCTCCTTTGGCCTTGAGGATTCCATGTGAGGGCTTGTTTTGTAACGCAGTTGGGTGCTTTCCCCAATGTGTGTCCTATCCACTTCCAGCGCTTCTTCCTGATTTCTTCCTCCGCAGGAATCTGGTTTGTTCTCTCCCATATTAGATTGTTGCTAATAGTGTCTGGCCAACGGATCTGAAGCATTTTACGTAGGCAACTGTTAATAAACACTTGTATCTTTTGGATGACGGCTTTATTGATAATAGTTAATAATAAATTAATAGATTGGATTAAGTAGAGAATACTGAATTACTATTTTAATAGTTAACATCATGAGTTAATTGAAGCTAGACCGCCACTGAAAATCTGGAATCATTGAACGATTGTTTCGTCCTATTGTGAAACTCCTCAGCAGTGCATATCCACAATCCTGCCTCTCATGATTCGAACCGAGGACCTATTGATCTCATTGTTTGTAGAAAGTATTCCAAATAATTTCGGTCAATAAAATGAAGTATAAAGTTATAGTATTGAGTTTTGTGATATATTAGTCAGTAATAATTTGTACAGGACCTTCTACATATATACATCAGTACAAGTTATTACGGTCAGACTGTAATTTATAGATGGACTAATCAGGTTTAGAATAAGAGGTCTTGAATTTTGGCACAAAATTCATTCATCCATTTCATTAAAGACAGTTTTGGGATTTTAACTGATGTTAGTCTCTGATGAAAACTTCCCAAATCTAATTTTTAACCCTAATCATCAACTTTAAATCACAATCCCTATCCTTCATACAGATTTTAAATCCTCATTTAGCCCTAGTCAGTAGGTGGACATTCTCAAGGCCACTTATGATATGATGTGATAGTGAGACTCGAATCATAAAAAGATATGTGGAATCATTTCATTTCAGTCAGTCAGCAGCAACGTAGAACTTCGTATGTACGTTCGTACATCAGTTCAAGTTGCCATACCACATTAGCACACAGATACAATTGTCGATTCAAATCCCATAGTGGTAGAGGTAGTGAAATTATAGGCTGTAATCAGAAAGATTAAGGTTTGAAGATGTTATTCAAGGAATATAATCCAGTGAAATAAATTTGGAAAGAGAAAAACAAAGCGACATGAAGAATTCAGAAGATTAGAATTTGGGCAAACACAAAGAGTGGATGCACCTGAGTCATTGCAAACGATTTTGAGCCATGTCACATTCAAGGTCTCTAACCATCGGTTGCTAATATCTCGCGGATCTCTACTAGGTACTTTACACATACTAACACGGCTCATTTTACTTGTCAGTGACTTCATGGATTTGTGCCATGTTTTGTTCTGGCCGCCCCTAGCTACTGTGACCAATATTGAACTACTCAACGTTTTTAGCCATAGATTAAGATTATCGTATAAACCTCAACCAAATAGTCTAGATCTACTAATAAATTAGTGGTTCCAAGAATCCATCCCGAGTTTTCATTTGACTAACTCATACTTTCTGTTAGGATATCCTACCCAAGTCAGCACTTCGTATCTGTGTGAATAACGGCGAGCCATACGTTTAACATGTTTCAGTTACTTTAGTCGGCGAAAATCCGCAGCGGTCTTAACTTATTAAACATATCTATTTAGTATTCTACACCTAATTTCGAGATTACTCACCCGTTGGCTTCACTGCTTACGAACAATATTTCAAATACTACTATGGTCAAGCACCAATTATATCCCTCATCTTAAAAAAGACGGCATTTTCTAGTTAAAATGATAAACAAAGTAGGCTACTGACCATTATCTATGTAGATAGATGAGATCGTTTAAGTATTCAGCTCATAGTATACTTTCCTTTGATATGATGTCTTCATGAAACCTTGTATTTATTCCAAAAGAAAAGCAAGTCATACAGTGATCTACCATTCGTCACAATTGATTAATCACTGGGTGGTGATCAGTGTCATGTATGTCAAGCCCTTCTTAGTGCAGATTGAATGCTATCGAACGAGTTGCAATGTGGCCACTAGTCTAAGTGACTCGACATATCGTGCACTATGTTGAGATAAGATGGTGGTTGGAGGTAGTCAACAGGAAACCCTGAAACCGTGTTTTGTGCTATTTGGGTGGTGATCAATGTCATGTGTGTCCAATCCTACACCTTGCTAACGAGTGCCAAGTAGCACAAAACCCGAATCCAGAGTTTCCTGTTGACTACCTCCAACCATCATCTTAACTTACTATTTGTTTTTTCTTAACCATTATGACCTTTTTCATTAGACTTATGACCTTTTGTAAAACAATAAAAATATTTGGTTACTTCATCAGTGAAAGTATATCAGTACTTGTTTCTTTATTATTTATTATAGGTCATCATGTGTTGTGTTCAGTTTTGTTTATTTCTAGTTTCATGTATGAGATTTATGTGTACAATTGAGATGATTATCATTAATAGTAACTATTGTTTAGTTGGATAAATAAGATTCTTCATTATTAAACTACCATCTTCATTGACCTAATACAATCTAAATGATAAGATTACATGATGTAGTTTTAGTCAATTGAAGCATTAAATAAAAATCATTTCATATTTATAGGTTTGTGGTAGTTGTAGCAATTCAATGGTTGAATTCATGAGTCGTTTTAAACTAGACCAATATTGGATAACCTGGAAACACTGGACGGTCGTTTCATCCTAGTATGAAATTAATCAACAGTGTACCGTCTATTACTTCAAGATTATTCAGATTGGTCTAGCTTAAATTGACTTATGAATTCAACCATTAAATGATTACAATTTTCACAAACCCTCATTCTGACAGTGACTAGTGATTGGCTTCAAGATGTATGTTCTGGAATTTTATTAATTAGACGTGACCAGTGAAGTTAAACCGTGTCTGTTGTGAGGCAGCTACTCACTAGAGACAATGGTGGACTGTCGCGCAATATCATGGATTGCTTGAAGTTAGACATTAACACTATAGAATGTTGGCTTAGTGGTCTGGAGCTTAGGCGTTCGCGCGCCAGACCGAAAGCCATGGGTTCGAGTTCCTTTTGACGTGGAGTCATGGATGCGCACTCTCAAAAAGTTCTGTACTAGGACGAAACGGCCGTCCAGTATTTCCAGGTTTTCCATGATAGTTTAACTTAAATCAACTGATGAATTCAACTGAAGATGGCACAGGTATTTGGAGTTTGACAACACTTTAACCAGTAACACGTTCTACTATGAATCGTACCCATAAAGTGAAACCAAAAGTCAGAAGCAAGAAGGTTCGAAGATATATTTGATAAGCTATCAACATATCGAGAATCAACTGATCTAAACTAGCTAGCGATTTCAGGGGGAAGTTGAGCATGGCATTCCCACTCGTGACCTGATGCGGATGCATGACCGAGCAACTTCAGCTAAGTGAGTCCATTGAAACTAATGTGGTCGGCATCAAATGTCGAAGACTTACAGAGCTATTGATTTTGGGGATATATTTACCGCTACACAATCATTTATGACCTTATTTGTATCTAATAAAAAACAAGATGTTTCTTAAAATGAGTGTGTAATTTACTTCTTCCTGTAAATCAGGAACAGATGTAATAGCATTTCATATTCAAGAAGAAATCATCTTAATCACTCATATTTCTATGGTGAATAGTGATAAGCATTGAAAATCTTAAAATAGTATGCATTCATTTTGTCATATAGCCATAACATCCAATTCAACTGTATACATTAATCGACAACCATTTTCCTGTCAGTATTCATCTTAAGCACTCTGTATTTGAAGCATAAATTGAATTATTAGAATGACTGATTACTATGAGGTAGATTGAAGTATTTTCTACATTTGATTAAGATTAATATAATTTCAAGTGAGAACAATGGTACACGGAGGCACCGATTATATATGCACCATACAAATTATTCGGTTTGTGTCAAGGCTAGAATACTACTCAGATGTTCAAACTGAAACAGATGCTTTTCTTAGGGAATGACCCTCCCAGCCTTTGACCTACAAGTCTAATCTATAAGACAGTAGAGCAAATTTAGGAGATTCGATCCCATGGTAGCCGGTGAAAAACAATAGGTTGATACGCCATATGTTCCCTCAGGATCCTGAAGCCAGACCATGTGCACCATTGGTTTGGAATCAGTGATTTCCAACTTCCTCAGGTGAACCCTCCGTGTTCACCAATCCGGTTAAAGCGCCGGACATTCGCTTTTCGTCCTCTCGATTTCATAAACAATGCTCCCGTCAAGAAAAAGCAGTGAGTGGGACTTCTCTTACAGTGATCGTACGCACGTGGCCATGTGAGAGCATTTGAAGAAGGAGAGCTGATTCTCCTCACTCTGTGCTATATTAGGGCATTTAAAGGCAATACTAGTAATAAACCCATTAGTAATAAATATACTTGTACTGCATAAGTTAACTACAAAAGTCAAGAATTCCAGTTATATGATTCACAGATCGTGATATTATAATGTTATTCAGTCAATATTTTAAGAAATCCGTTCACAAATTAAATCATTAAAAGTTTATTTGGATGAATGTTTTATTTTTTGGAAAACTTTCGATTTTAATCGATGATCTAATGATTAAGCGCTTGCGCGCGAGACTGATAAATCCTGGGTTCAAATCTCGTGGGTGGGGGGCGGGATCATGGATGCGCACTACCAAGGAAAAGTCCCATAATAGGACGAAATGGCCATCCAGTGCATTCAGGTTTTCCATGGTTGTCTAGCTTCAATTGATTCATGATTTCAACTATTTAATCGATATGTTATCTTCAACATTCTATCTTATTATTATTATCTTTTTCTTAATCTAAAGTAAATCTTGGCTGTCCAAAGGATATTCCTGAAATATGTAATGAAATGTTTCCTACATTATATACAAGAAGTAAATGGATTAAATCTAATTTTACTGTGTGTAAGTTTAATATTTAATTAAATTATTCATCATTATAATTATTGATTCCAATTATACTATAAATTACATTTTCTGTTATTCATGAACTATGTTTGAAACTTATTTCTGTGTATGAGATAGAAGGGTTAGATCGTTTAAGAGGTTAAAGTCGTCTAGTTTGTATCCAAGGTATCTATTGTATTCTGTGCTTCCCCTGAGATATGGAGGTTTTCAAAATCCAGTCAACTATCAGGTGAAAGAAAAATGATGGGAGTCAGTCGCTATACTGATACCGACCTTCATTGGGGATGGATTTGTGAGGTGCTCTGCATGCATGACTTTGCGATGTTGTCTGTCGTAAGAATTTCGTATGATGACAACCACCTTCTGACACTTAACCATAGTGTCAAAGAATGTTGTATAAGGTTTTTTTATCCTCACTGTTAAATGCTTTCTCGTAGCTAATAAATTTGATGTATAGTGATGAGTTCCATCTACTCAACCGGTAAGTAATGATTACTAGTGTTGGTATTTGGTTGGTAGATAGTCAGTCCTTACGAAATTTAGCCCATCAGTCTTCAAGTTAGGTGTCTGCTGAGTGTTTATTCTGTTCAACAACACTCTGTGTGAAAACACTTACCGGTAATGATAGTAGTGAGATACCTCTGTAGATCTCACATTTACTAAGATCTATCTATCTCTTTTATTTTCTCAAAAAAATTAATTTACAGGTAGTACAATGATCTCATAGATTCTTGAAGAGGATAAGAACAACGAATTGATAAGAATGACATATATTCATTTTATTTCGTGAAATTCTTCGCTCTAGTTGAAGGTTTATAAGTAACCCTTTCATGTTACTGCCAATTGAGTATACATATTTACATGTACCTCCCAAAGTAGTCACATTAATAGACAAAAAAGAAGGACCTACGTTCGATTCCAAGAACGGTGAGACTATAATTTATGAACAAAACAATCCGATATAAGATAACAGGTCTTGGATTTTGGCGCGAAATCCATTCATCCATTCGGGTAAATGCAGTTTTGGCATTATAACTAGATATCAATTCGTAATGAAAATCCGTCAAATCTAATTCTCAATCCTAACCATCAAGTCATAATTCGAATTCCTCACATTTAGCTCTAGTAAGAAGGTGGATATTCTGAAGGTCATTAAGGCGTTCCTCAAAGGTAACATTACAATAGTCGATTAATATCTATAGCTTGGGTGAATTTGAGAAGAACGTAGTGTGACTGTTTGATTGATGGTTCTGAAATATTTAAATCTATTTACTTCATGCCCTGTGTCACAGAGTTGTTTTGCAATAGCACTGTTAAAATCCTTTAATCTTCATAACCTTTATAAGACTTTTAGAGATATGTTCTTGTGGTGAGACTATAATTTATGAACGAACGCTTAAGTAACCTTGAAAGTGTCCACCACCTAATAACTAGGACCAAATGAGGGTTATAAACCTTCGTGAGGAAAGAGAATTATAATTTACAGTGGATGGTTAAGCATAGGAATTAGATTTGAGATGGGGGAATTTCATCACGAACTGACATCTAGCTATCATGTCAAAACTCCATTTACCCGAATGAATGGGTGAATGAATTTCGCGCTAAAATCCAAGGCCTGTTATTCTAAATCTTATTTATTCGTCTATAAATTATATTCTCGCAAAATTTTTTTGTTAGCTGGTTAAAAATCTCTGTCCGTACATCATTTTCCATCATTGTGGAATCAATGTTTTCTTGTAAAGAATGATAATAGAAATCTTTTAAATAATAGGTGTGTTGAAAAGATCTAGAAAATTCCTCAAAGAAAAAACCAACAAAGTCTTTGAAAACGCTGAGAATCATCTTATCCAATCAGCATTCACTAGACGTTTTGCCAGAGATATCTAGAATGTGAAAAGTCACATGTCGCAAGTCAGATTAGGTAATTGCCTATACTGCTACTAACGTTCCAGAAGCTTCCGGAAACCCAGAACCATCTAAAATGCTACAAATATGAACCTTTCGACTAAAGTTTTTTTTGCATATTTCGAGAATTTTCTCTTGTGTTCAAGTTGCTGTGTACATTTAACCTGGAGGTTACCAGAAGTGCTTAGGAAACCGAATCTATCGTTCAATTAGAATACTTATCGAAGTGAAGTATGAGAAACTGTCTTAAGATACTATTTCTTTTTTAGAAGAAAAACGCTGAATGAAAGCCACATTTATCAGTTTAAATGGTTGTATAGAACACCTTTTTATCATTTTCAATTTATATTTGATTCAGAGAGGGGTTTTGTAGATAGTATAGTAATTTGAATAGTTGAATTCATGAGTCGATTGAAACTAGACCAACAGGGAAAACCTGGAGGCATTGGATGGTCGTTTTATCCTAGTACAGAACTCCTTCTTGGCAGTGCTCATCCACGATCCCGCCTAGTGTGATTCAATCCCAGAACCTATCAGTTAAACATTAACACTATTGGATGCCGTTCATCTCAGTGGTCTAGAAGTTAAGCATTCGCACGTGAGACCGATAGGTCCTGGGTCTGAATCTCGCGAGGCGGGATTTTAGATACGCACTATTGAGGAGTCCCACAATAAAAATAAACGGCCATCCAGTACTTCGAGGTCTTCCATGATGATCTAACTTCATTTGGCTCATGAATTCAGCTATTAGAATTTATTGATTGAGATCAATAAAACTGATCGATGTTAGACTATCATTGAAAACCTGAAAGCACTAGACGGCCGGATTTGTCCTATTGTAGGACTCCTCATCAGTGCGCATCTTCACAACCCTATACTGATAATTACCATATGTCCACCAGTGACTAGATTCGTGAAGTAATTCTTTGAGTTCTACTGTGAAGCCATGACCAGTAGAGCTAATACATGTCGGGTAGAGATAGGTATCTATCATAGTACAATGAAAGATGGTCGCGCAATTTCACAGTTTAGTTTAGGTTAAACATTAACACCGTTGTAGTAGTTTAGAGGTTAAGCATTCGTGCGTGAGACTGATAGGTTCTAGGATTGAATCTCGCGAGGCGGGATTGTGGATACTCACTACCAAGGAGAAGTCCCACAACAAGAAGACGAAACGACCATCCAGTACATTGAGGTTTTCCATGATGATTTAACTTTAACTATTACAATTTATATTTCATTTTTAATAATCTAATTTATTCTATTCTGTCTATATATATATATTGTATATGAATTAAATTTTAGCTGCTATAATACGTATATCTGGTACATTATGGTGGTTTGGTAAAAATGATCATTATCAACCATTATTCCGTTTTCATATATTAAAAACATTCGATTCTGATATACATCCATATGATGAAAAAATGATTTTAACTTATTCATGGCCATTAAAATGTATTTGTATAGATGAAATTATAATTGGTAAAAAATATTTAATGTTAACACATTCATTTAAATCAAGACAAACATTACATATTACAAAGAATACTGTATTTCTATCACGTGTAAGACGTTATACAAGAAAATTGGCGGTAAGTTAAATAATTGTGTTTTGAATGTCACCTTCTTGACTGATGAGTACAAGTTGATATAATATTCATAGAATAATCATAGATTTATCAATATGGGGGTTGTGGAGATTGTTAAGTTTTTGGTTGAGATCATGAATCAATTGATGTTAGACCATCGTTAGAAACCTGGAAGCACTGGACGGTTGTTTCGTCCTATTGTGAGACTCCTCGGCAGTGCGCATCCACGATCCAGCGAGCGGGATTCGAACCCAGGATCTACTGGTAATTAACATGTGCTCACTAGTGACTAGCTTCATGAGGGAATTCTCGGAGTTCTAGTGAGAAGTCGTGACCAGTGGAGCTAATCCGTGTCGGGTGGAGACAGGTATCTACCTCAGTACAATGGAAGTTTGTCGCGCAATTTCGTGGATTGGTTGATGTTAGACACTAACACCATTGGATGCCGGTTCAGTGGTCTAGTGGTTAAGTGCTCAGGCGCGAAGCCAGTAGGTCCTGGGTTCGAATCCCGCTCGCGGGATCGTGGATGCGCACTGCTGAGGAGTCCCATACTAGGACGAAACGGTCGTCCAGTTCTTCCAGGTTTCCAACGGTGGTCTAACATCAATTGATTCATGATCTCAACCAAAAAATCATAGATTTATTGACTATGTATCTTACTTGTAATTTTTAGTCGGTTTAAAGTCAGTCAATCAGCTACAACATAGGACCAGGCACATATATGCATCAGTCCAAGTTGACATACTTCATTAACACAGCATAATGGACACCGAATTCATAAAAGTAGATAATTTACAGGTGGTAATATATATAAGAAAGATTGTGTATAAGTAAATGATAGACGGATATCTTGCCTTCGCCATAGGTGACGTAAGTTGGTAAAAGCCAAACGAGCTTTTCGAATCGATGCTGAGATTTCGTCAGACACCAACCCAGATGGGCTCCAGGTGAAGTTTGACTTTTGGGGATGAAATCAATTGTTGTTGTTGTTGTCGATTCAACTTATAATCTTTTAGTTCATTATTGTTTATTGTCATCTTGAATGGAATAGTATATCAAACATTACAGTTTAATTGGTTGATTTAGACTAACTTGATTTCGTGATATGAAAATATACAAACATAAAATCAATAAAAATGATCTTACTTATAAAGGATAAAAAATGTTATCGAACTATTATGAAACATCGAGATAACATTTTATTTTTATAGTTGAATTGATGAGTCAATCTAAGTTAAACTATTATGAAAAACTTGAAAGCATTAGAAGGTCGTTTCACCATAGTGCGGAACTCTCCAGAAATGCATATCCACAGACTTCCACGCGAGATATAAACCTAAGACCTTCGACTTTGTATGTGAAAGCTTAACCTCTAGACCACTAAGCTGACCGGCGTCCACCGGTATTAACTTCAACGAAACGGTTGTTCATTACATCCAGGTTTTCATTAGTAGTCTAGTTTAGATCGACTCGTGAATTCAGCTGTGAAAATAGTACAATCTCTACAAGTCCCCATACTGATAACATAAATTTGATCTCAAATAATTCATAAATATGAACATAGATTCGAATTAATATTGTCTAAACACCACAATATTAGCAACTATCATTCTATCTTTCTGTAAATCGGGATGGTAAGAAGAAAAACTGAACGACTTATGTATCGTATCAACCTATTCATCCATGAAAATACAATAATTACACATTATCGATATCATGTAAACAGAAAATGTAGTGACTGATGGAATATTTCTCACTATTCAGTTTTTTATCATGACTGTGCTTAACATATGATGAGACTATCATTTATGAAGAATTTTTGACCGATGTTCACTCTTGATGGCGAAACTCTTAAAGATGTAGAATTCTTCACATACCTGGGAAGCATCATCGATGAACAAGGAGGTTCAGATGCAGATGTAAAGGCGAGGATTGGCAAAGCAAGGACAGCATTCCTACAGTTGAAGAATACATGGAATTCAAAACAACTTTCAACCAATATCAAAGTGAGAATCTTCAATACGAAAATCAAGGCAGTTCTACTGTATGGAGCTGAAACTTGGAGAACTACAACAACCACCATCAAGAAGGTACAAGTATTTATAAATGGTTGTCTACGCAAGATACTCAACATCTATTAGCCGGATACCATCAGCAACAGCCTTCTTTGAGAAAGGACAAACCAGCTTCAAACTGAGGAGGAAATTGGGAAAAGAAGATGGAAATCGATAGGACATACATTACGCAAATCATCAAATTGCATCGCAAGACAAGCTCTAACTTGGAATTCTGAAGGGAAGCGGAAAAGTGGAAGGCCAAAGAAGACATTACGTTGGGAAATAGAAATCAGACATGAAAAGGATGAATAACAACTGGAAGGAGCTAGAAAGTATTGCCCAGGACAGGGTTGGATAGAGAATGCTGGTGGACAGCCTATGCTCCTTCACGAAGAGTGACAGGTGTAAGTAAGTAAGTAAATTTGACCGATGCTAAAGTGGCTTTGAGAATAGTCACTAACCGACTAGTGTTAAATGAGGGTTATAAAGCAGTTTGAAGAGTAAAGATTATGATTTTTAGTTGATCGTTACAGTTAGAAATTAGATTAAAGGTTTTCATTACAAATTGATCTGAGTTAAAATCCTAAAATCCTCTTTAATCAAATCGATGGATGAATGTCAAGCCAAAATCTAAGACTTATCATTCTAAATCTAATTGCTTCGTCCATAAATCGTAGTCTAGTAGACTACTAATGATTATGGTTATATATATATTCTTAAAAAGTATTATTTTCAGTATGGGATTATGAAGATTGTTGAATTTCATTGAGATCATTAACAGCACTGCACAATCCCTATATTGGCAATTACCATGTACTCAAATGTCACTCAGTCAGTCAGCAACAACCTAGAACTTCGTACGTACGTACATCAGTTCGAGTTGCCACATCACACTAGCACAGAGATGCAGTGGTCGATTCAAATACCGTAGTGGTAATCGAGAAATTTACAGTGTTCTAGTTGAAAGACGTGACCAGTAAAGTTAATCTGTGTTATGTGTGCTGCGTCTACACTCCAAAGACAATATAAGATAGTCTTGAAATGTTGTAAATTGACTGAATTTAGGCATTAACAGAACTGGATACTGGCTGAATAGTCTAGAAGTTTATTTATCCTGCAAATTTATTTGAACCAAGATAATGATATGATCATTTGAAAATTGAAATTGTAGAATATAACGATCTTCTTCTAGATCCTTCTACATCAGTAATTCTTCCATTATATATATATTTACTTTCTTTTCATTTTTAGTGTTGGAAAGGTGCATGCACTATAAGATCTAGTCGTAATCGTAAACGAAGTTATTATATACAATCAAATAATAAACTACTAAATCATAATGATAGAAAATTAAAATAAAATTAAAAAGACAAAAAACAAACAAATAAATGAATAAATAAAGGAATCAACCCCCACCACCACCACCACCTTCACACCCATCCCCATTAACATTTTTTACTAAAAACACTTATAGTAACCAAGGAATTATTCAATCTAATTCATATACCATGTTTTCTGATAACGATATGAATTGTTTTTTTCTTTGTTTTTTTAAAAAAAATATAATTATTTATTCATTGTTTACATGAACATGAATACTCTATTGACAACAAGAGTTGTCTATAATCAAATATAATTTCATTGGTTTATTGCAATTGGTAATGTTTGTTGATTTCATTTTATTGATTTATTTAAACATATAAATATTGATATAAGGAGGCACCAAATAGATATACACAATATAAATCATTCAATTTGTGTCAGAGCTGGGATACTGTCTAAACTGAAACATGTGGTTTTCTTAGGGAACTACATCCGGAACATTCGACATAAAGGTTTAATCCAAAAGGCAGTGGAGTAACGTAAGGAAATGTCGTTCCATGGTAGCCGGTGACCAATAATTGGTTAATACGCCATTTTTTCCCTCAGGATCCTGGAGCCAGACCATGTGCACCATTGGTTTCAAATCAAGGTTTTTCAACCCCCCTAGCTGGACTCCCCGTGTTCACCGACCCAGTTAAAGCTCCTCTCAATTTCCTAAACAACACCGTCGCAGCGATAGGGCAGTGAGTAGGACTTCCCTGACAGTGGCTGTATGCACGTAGCCATGTGAGAGGATTTGGAGAGGGAGAGCTGACTCTCCCTACTTTCGAACGTACCAGGATATTTGGTATTCCTATAATGATGAGAATGACTTCATCATTTTTTGTATTGGTTGTTTGAAACTTCTTATTAACTAGACATATGTTCTAGATTCCACTGGTAGCCAACATTCATCACTGCTTATAATGACTGGTTAATAAGGATGACAATTATGAAAATGATGTTGTATTTCAGTGTAGGCTTGTGAAATTCGTTGAGTTAAGATTGGTATCATGAATGGATAAGTGTGAGTATCACTGTTGAAACCTGGAAGTACTGGATGACGGTTCCGTCCTAGTACAGAACTCTTCAGCAGTGAGCATCCATGACCCCGCATATGGGACTCGAAACTAATACCTTCGATCTCGCGCGGGAAACTTAAATTTTAGAACACTAAAGTGGCAGATATCCAATGGTATTAATGTCTAACTTTAACTAGTCCACAAAGTTAGACATTAACACGGATGGATGCCGGCTCAGTTGTCTAGAGGTTAAACGTTCGCGCGCAAGTTCGAAGATCCTAGGCTCGTTCCCCTTGTGGAGGACCGTGCACGCAGAATTCTGAGGAGTCTCGTACTAGGACGAAACGATCATCCGGTACTTCCATGTTCTAGCTTAGATCGACTCATGAATTCAACTATTAAATTCGAATTGACAACATTAAAGTTGACTACAATTTGATAGAATATGTTCAAAATGAAATTATATTCCTGAAATTCACAGTGGTTGACATAAAATAATTCTAAAGTTCTACCTGCTAATTTAGTCCGAGTATTGTCAGGAAACTCATCAAAGTTAAAATTATTTAAGATAAATAAAATCGCAAAGCCAAATATCTAGTCATGTCCATATAGTAGATGAGGTCATGGAGTACACTCAAGAGAATTTAAAAGTTTGCATGTTTTTGCATTCAATGACGTAGATGTTTTAATCTTAGAATATGATATGCTTGAATGCTGTTACGAATTCGCCTTACTCGGTAAACGGAATGAATGTCAAAGATACAGTGACACGATAGGCTATTCTAATCCGTTGTCCCCAACCCTGCTAATTGGATTAGGAAGTCTTGATGAGGCATATAGAATATATTCTATAAACACCCAGAAAATACGTCACTATGCACACAAATCAAGCTTATTTATAGTGATACAAACGCCCAAGGGAGAGCCACAAAATAGTATACTAAAAAAATCCGTCACCGAATGACAATCAAGGATTTCTGAGTGGGAAATGTAAGCTGTAGGCCAATTAAGCATGTCTTGGCCCGAAAACATTAAATTTTAATCTTTTGAATGAAATTACATAACTAGGACCTTTTCGAAGTGAGTTCTGGGGATCGAACGCCCTCAACAGAATTTCAAAAATGTCTACATATTGGTACAAGGAGTCACCAAATACATATGCGTCAAACAGATCTCATTCGATATGTGTGAGGGCTGTGAAATTGCCCGGGTGCCCAAACCGAAGCAGGTGGTTTTCTTAGGAGGCCACTCCCCGAGCCTTCGACCTGAAGGTTTGATCCACAAGGCAGTGGAGCATCGTAAGGAGATGCAGTCCCATGGTAGCCGGTGACTTCAGGATACTGTAGCATATGTGCACCATTGGTTTGGAATGCGGTGAAAGCGCCGGACATTCTCTTTTCGTCCTCTCATTTTCGTAAAAGGCACCCCCGCCACGAGAAGGTAGTGAGTAGGACTTCCCTGTCAGATGCTATATACTCGTGGTCACTTGATAGCATTTCGAAAGGGAGAGCGGACTCTCCTCACTCTCAGCCGTACCAGGGCATTTGGAAGCAATGAGGAATTAGAATTATGATTTACCGTTGATGGTTAGAGTTAGGAATTAGATTTATGGTTTTAATAACGAACTGACACCAGCTATGATACCAAAACTATTTAGTCAAATGAATTCATTAATTTCGCGCCAAAATTCAAGACCTGTTATCGTGAATCTACTATAACACAGTCAGCAATTTCTCTGCTTTCATATTTGTCCTTCACGTTGTTGAGTTTTTGAAATTTCGTCGGGTCATTCAAAATCAAGTTCATTTTATCAATGTCATCGGATTTTTTCATCAGAATTAGCCCTCCGCCTTGCTTATGATCAGAGTGTTGTCTTTTCTAAGCTGGAACATGTTGAGCTATTTAGCTGAGAGACAGTTACTATTCAGTCTACATGTCTTCACTTAGATGTTAAGGAGGATAACCATCTGTTACTGGTTTATAAGATTGGTGGTTCAGATTTCCTTCGTTGATTGTCGAGACCGTTATGATACGCTTTTGTAATACACAAAGTCTCACTGGAGTCAATGATTCATGATCGCCTATTTTGTTATCGAAAAACGTGTGCACATTTTTAAGAATAGCTGTGATCTCTGGAAACAGTGAATATGAGTCAAACAAATTACCGAACACACAGTTGACACTTTAATTTCTTGACATGGGACATAATTTATCCATTAATTTCAACAACACCAAAATACTCATGTTGTTATGATTTTTGCCCCTAACCTTTTTTCTATGCTAAATCAATGACATGTCAATCAGAACTAGCAGTCTTGAGTCGACTCCGTATCCTTATTAGCTCTCTTTATAGTAGACTCTCGTCTAACTCAGTCCCTTTAGTTCAGAATACAAATATCAGCCTTCGCTGTGTGAATAGTATATTTCAGATACGTGATTTCTTTCAAATAGACCAAACTGCATCACATCATAGAAATGAAAAGCAATAATTATACAAGATCAAGTGTCTGTGAGAGACTGTAACTAATAGAGTATCTATATACATATATAATTTAATTAATATTTATCCAATAAGAATATATATAATGAAAGCCTATAAATAATTCCTAGCAGTTGCTATTCATTTATTCTTCGTTCAGATGTAATACAGGTTATGTGTAAATAATAAATAATATAATAATCATTATAGTTTTTGTTATATCCCAATGAGTAGAGAAGTTGTATTTCTGACGTTTTGTGACTGAATGTAAGTCACTTCTTCAGAGCAAACAAATAATGGAACTTTGAAGAAGTGTCTTACATTAAGTCACAAAACGTCAGAAATATAATTTTCCACTCAAACTTAACTTATTTGAAACTATCAATATCCTTTATTGAACAAAATATTAACTTGTTCTTTTCTTATTTCATTTATCACTAAATAACTGAAGCTGTAAATCAATGCTTTGATCACCTAGTTCTCAATTGTTATTATAAAATTAAGAATCGACTTTGTTCTAATTCAATTTCCGCTACTATGACTACGACTACTTCGACTAGGATCACGACGACTAGTCCTACTACTACTACCACGACCACTACTAGAACTACGACGACTACTACTTCTATTACTAGGACTACCGCGTCATTTACTACGTCTACTACTAGGACTATGACGACTATTATTTTAGTTACTGTAAATATAAATAAGGAATTTGTTTTTTGTTTTTTAAAAAAAAGAGAGATTATATAATCAGAATGTTTGATTGAAGTAAATGATCATGTAAAAATAAACAAAGAAAACAAGAAAAAAACATTTTTTTTTAAATAATCCGTTAAAAGAAGAAAAAAAGGAGGGGGGGAATCAAAAAGGAATCAGATTAGTTGATTTAACCGGTTGACAAAGAGAACCAATAAACGATTGTGCTGTTATAAATCCTGTTGTAATAATAACAAATTCAACATTTGCTGGAAAAAGAAAGAAAAAAAAGGAAGAATGAATGAATGACTGAATGTGAGTGAAACAGAAACAAAAGAGATACAATTATTTCGATGATAAAATAAGTTTCTATGAATATTCAATATCAGAAGGGGGGTTTTGTGGAGATTTTAGTAATTTTATAGTTGAGTTCATGAGTTAATTGAAGTTACGTCACCATGAAAAACCTGGAAGCACTAGACGGCTGTTTCGTCCTATTGTGGGACTTCTAATGAGAAGTCGTAACTAGTGGAACTAATCGACGTCAGGTATCTACCTCAGTACAATGGAAGATGGTCATGCAATTTTGTGGATTGGTTGAAGTTAGACATTAACACTGTTGGATGCCGGCCAGGCCAGTACTTTAAAGGTTAAGAGTTCGCGCGAGACCGATAGGTCATGGATTCGAATCTCGCGAGACGAAATCGTGGATGCGCACTGCTGAAAATTCCCATACTAGGACGAAACGGCCGTTTCGTGCTTCCAGGTTTTCCATGTTGATCTAGCTTTAATTGACTCATGAATTGAACTATAGGATATTCAATAGTTTTTACTGATGAAAATGAAAAGTGTTTTCATAAAATATGAAAACTATACATTAAATACATCATTTGCACTATTCCATCGATCGTCCTTCACATTCTTCATGATTCTTTCAGATTCTGTTGTTATTACAATTTCTCTGTTTTCCTTCTTGTTCTCTTCAATTCAATATTCTTTATTTCCTGCTGGTAGGCATTAGAATTCCCATTAGTGCTACATATTACTTATATCTGTCAACATAAGTAGCATACACCGCAACGTAACACACCCAATGCTCAATTTATTTGAAATTATCAAGTTCAACTGTGGCACATTGATAAAGGTCATCTATTTGCAAGTGTTGTAACTTTTAAAATAAAAAATATTATTAACACAGTTTCTTTTTTTGTTGACGAATAGTCAGTCAGTCACAACGTAGGACTAGGCACATATATGCATCAGTCCAAGTTGGCATACTTCATTAACACAGCAAAAGGAACACCAAATGCATATAAGCAGTTGCCTCACTAGTGGTAATATATAAAAGAAAGATTGTATATAAGTAAATGATACAAGAAGAAAGAATTGGTTCATAGAAAGGAAGGTATAAAGCAATTTTAACCTCATAGTTTAAGGGAGGACAAAGAGTGTATACACTTACGCCATTGTGATCGATTCTGAGCCATGTCACCAAGAGTCTCCAATCATTGGTTACGATAGTCTCGCGGACCCCAACCAAGTAGTCTGCATCTACCAAAATGGCTAAAACCAGAATTTAGTGACTTCAAGCACTGATGCCACGTTTTGGTTTGGTCACCCCTAACTTTCTTCCAACCATCTCCAACACCGGTTAGCATTTCACGTCTTGGTAATCGGTGTTCATGCATACGCTGAAGGCTCCAATGTGTAGTCTGGAGCAAGGTTTCACTACACGTGGGACAGAGTTTTGCGCACTAGAATCGTTGACTATGGTGACACTTGAGGAGGAAGCCGAAAGAGGGAGTTTAGAGTTGAAAATCGATGTAGGAAGAATAATAAGAATTGAAGAGGGAGGTTGATTATGAAGACGGAGATTTGGGATAAATGAAATGTGTACAGCGAGTTTTTTTTAATCTGTATCGTACTCTTTTCCGATCCCCTTTTGTATGTTAATCATGCTACTGACTAATATTCAGTAACTAGTTTCAATTCTAATAACTGAGAGAATTACTATATTACGGCTATCTATGGTTGTGATATATCTAAGCATTTACATAGACTTAAAATTTATAATAAGTTCTACATTTTGTTCTGTTCTTTCTGATTTTGATAGTCTCCCAACAATTTACACATAGCTATAAATTGTCATACAGTTTATCGTATGTTGCTGTAAATACATTTATACAATCATTTAAGAAGGTACCTTCCTTTGATTTCACACAAATTTGGTGAATACCACAGACATCTCTCACAAATTAAGGTTTGTCATGCATTTCAAATATTTCTGCAATAACAGGATTGACTTTGCAGATCAGATGAGTTGCTCAAAGTCATCATCCATACCTTAAACAATACCAGTTCCAAAATTTATTAGCTATGAGGATGCCATATTGACAAAATGAAAACTGGGATATTATTCATTTTCAATCCGCTCAACTACGGTATAATAAATCGAGGTACCAGCAAATTGAATCACTTGAAAATATTACACTTAACTTGAAACAGGCGAAAATAAAAAACGATCACATTAATATTGAACCGATAGTAACTTACCATCTTCACTAGCAGCTATAGTTCTTAAAGCTGATATTTCTGCATGACTCACACCGCCAACAAAACCAACGACTACAATACGCGGTTTATTTGGATGATTTTTCATATTTAAACAACCGCTTTTGGACGTGAAAGGTAAATCATCTTTAACTGGTAGTTGTACTTTAAATTCTGGAGCACATATTAAGTTAGACAGTGAAGATGTTGTACGGTTAGAATTTGCAGTCAACGAATTGTTCGGAAGAAAACCACCAGTTTTCTCTGCCGTCGGTGTTAATTCGGGTGCATTGCGCTCATTAGACTCCGGTAACACAGACATTTCCAAACTCTCTGAAGATCTAAGGCCTGAAACTATACGTGTAGCCTTAGACAGTAAAAAAGCCCCCGAACCGCCACCGGTGAACGTAGGTTGATCTGTTATACTTCTACTTGTTAATGATAGATTAGGTTTAGGATACCAGTCGTTTGTCCATATTTGAATAAGACGAATAGATATAGGGATATAACCGGAAAACAAACTAGATGCTGCTTGCTCAGAGTCATTAACTGAATTGGAATTAGGCGGTAAAACAAGGCGTAGATTTCCTTTTAGTACTGAATTATAACTAGTACTTATGTTAATAATTGTTTGTTTTAGGTTCGCTGACAACTTTGACGATAACAGGCTACTATTTCTTGAATTGATTTTTTCTTGGGGTGTAAAACTTGACGTTTGTATACTACTCATTAGACTATTAGGAGATTCATAAAGCAAACCTACACGCTCCAAATTATCCAGTGTGAAAATATGCTCAAAACCGTAGACCTTAAAAGGTAGGAAAAAATTCAAAAGATATGATCCAAGTATGTATGATTATTCAGTTATTAGTTAGTTACATGATTTTACTTGATTATTATTCATCACGATGGGCAGCCATACAAAAACTTATATATCTATGATTTAAGTGCAATTTACTCATTATTTATTATTTTAACACATAAATATTGGTACAAAGGGTCACCGAATACATATGCACTACACAAGTCACTTGATTTCTGTGTGGGCTGTGATACTGCCTAGGTGCCCGAATCGAAGCAGCTGGTTTCATTAGGGGGTCACTCATCCAGCCTTTGGCCTAAAGGTCTGATTCACAAGGCAGTGGAGCAACGTCAGATGATGTCCCAAGGTAGCCGGTAACCAATAATTTGTTAATACGTCATTTGTTTCTTCAGGATCCAGGGGCCTATTGGTTTGGAATCAGGGTTTTCCAACTCCTCTAGGTGGATTATCTACATCCACTAACCTGGGTAATACACCTCTCATATAGATTTATGTGTTCTAATCACACTGTGCTGCTTTCTATATCAATAGACATAGCTGTTTTCTAGGAAACATTATTACCTTCCAACTACTAAGGCACACAATGATAAATTTCTTAGCATTATAGAGTATGAGGTAATAAAATATATGAGACTCCTTACTATCTATGAAAAATTTATACTGGAAAGATGAAGATTTCTTCATGGAACGAAATAAGACTATTTTGTTAAAATGCTTCACCGTAAAATAATAGAAAACATGAGTTTATTTGAATGTCAAGATTATGCTAACAAAAAAAGAACTGAGTAAAGTCTACCAGTTTACTAGAAACTTAATACAGTAGGTGCTGGGTTCGAATCTCGCAGGGGGCGAGGTCGTGGATGCGCACTGCTGAGGAGTCCCACAATAGAACGAAACGGCCGTCCAGTGCTTCCAGGTTTTCCATGGTGGTCTAGCTTCAACTGACTCATGATTTTAACCATTGAAAGTATCATTTTTGTCTAAAAAAACTGAAGTGGCTAGAATGATCTTGGGATCCTTGTTTCAACCGTTAATTAGGAAACCATTTGTCTGCGACTATTGCACAAATAACTTTTCATTAAACATGCAAGTAACGTGAAAATGTGAATTTATGCATATTTTTTTTATTCCATCTGATATATTATGTCCTCCGATAAGTCATCACTATGTCCGGCTATATACTGTTTATTAACTAAGCTAAACATTTAAATTCACTTGGTGTTTCTTGTTTGTATCTTTCCTATTTTTGTTTAGAACTGCAATTTATAAGTCACTTGTTGGCACTTGTGTATCCTGTACGGATCGCCTCCATATTGTCTTAAGTTACAAGCTTTTCTAAGCAAAGATGGATAGTGGCTAACAGTGGAACCCAGGACGCGCGTTTCATGTACCTGTATCCCACAGTTGATGTTCACTCAGCGATTCGAACCCCGTACTATTTGCTTCAAACGACATCGCGTTATCCACTTTGCTTATTAAGCTAAACATTATTTTCGGATCTTCCGACATATGTTTGATAAATATTCACACATAAATTAAGTGTCAATTAAAATAACGTGAAAGCACTGAACGGTCGTCTTGTCTTAATATGGAACTCTTCAGCAGTGGGCATACTAGGATGAAATGACCATTCACTACTTACAGGTTTTTAATGGTAGTGTAATATCAATCGATTCATAAACTTAACCTCCACAAACCCATACTGATAATTAAAATAACTTTTAAGATCTGGATAGCCTTAATATTCAGTTGAATGAATGAATTATACATATATATATATATACACATCTAGACTCACTTGTATTATTTCATTTTTATAATAGTCTAAAAGTCGTTGCTTTAAGCCTCCATTACAAAATGATTGAATGCAAATTAGACGAAGAACCTTAAGATAGATAAAGGAATATGATAAAAAATGAAAGAAATCTCTAATAGATAAACAAGAGATTAGTAAATAAATAAGTACACATTATTATGATGGACTAATCAAAATAACACTAGATTTAATATGACAACAATAACAACTTTAAAATTGCTTAAAGTGAAAAAACAAAACAACAACAACAACATTGTAGTGATTACATATATGAACTTAGAATAACTACTTAACTGTAAACAATCATATCGAATAAAAACTAAAGTTCCCATTGATAATGTTCAACTTAACGATCCCTGATTATCAGAATACTGATAAAGGGATTGGCCAAACAGATGACTTGGTACAGCCGAGAGTGAGAAGAGTTAACTCTACTTCTCGAAATCTTCTTACATGGCCACACATATACAGCCACTGTCAAGGAATTACTACTGATTGCCTTTTCTCAATAAGGATGTTGTTTGCGAAATTCAGAGGACGGAAAGCGAACAACCGGAACTTTAACCAGGTTGATGGACAGGGAGAGTCCAACTAAGGGAGTTTAAAAAGCCTGATTCCAAACCAATGGTGTACACAGGTCTTTAGGATTCTGTGACAGAACAAATGGCGTATGAACTTATTGTTAGTCACTGTCTACCATAGAACTGCATCTCCTGATGTTGCTTCACTGTAGGTCAAAAGCTGGGGAAGTGACCCCCTAAAAAATCACCTGCACACGGTAAGTATTCCAACCGTCACACAAACCGAATAATTTGTACAGTGCATATATAATTGGTGTCTCCTCTATTCATTATTTTATTTTAACACATAGATATTGATACAAAGAGGCACCAAATACATATGTGCCACACAAATTCCATTCGATATGTGTGAAGGCTGTGATACTGCCCGGGTGCCCAAACCGAAGCAGGTGGTTTTCTTAGGAGGCCACACCTGGAGCCTTCGACCTGAAGGTTTGATCCACAAGGCAATGGAGCATCGTAAGGAGATGCAGTCCCATGGTAGCCAGTCACCAACGATTGGTTCATACGCCATTTGTTCCTTCAGGATACTGGAGACCATGTGCACCAATGGTTTGGAATCAGGGTTTTCCAACTCTCCTAGGTGGACTCTCCATGTCCACCGACCCGGTTAAAGCGCCAGACATTCGCTTTTTGTCCCTTCAATTTCGTAAACAACATCCCCGCCACGAGGAGGCAGTGAGTAGGACTTCCCTGGCAGAGGCTATATACGCGTGGCCATGTGAGAGTATTTCGAGAGGGAGAGCGGACTCTCCCCACTCTCGGCCGTACCAGGGCATTTGTATTAGTTGACAAGAAATGAAACGACAGCAAGTATGCTCTTTTGCAATCCACTGAAGAGCAAAACTCTAATGGATTACTTAAGGCCAGGTTCAAAAACCATTTCATAAATTGAAACGGTCAACCAATCACAGTCAGAGAATGACCAAACAAAAGAGCATACAGGGAAGAAAGGACACGCAAAGATTATAAAACTTGGAGAGACAATCATTCTAAAGCAGTGCCGTTAAAACGGACTAACTTGAGTACCTATTCAAGAATTAAAAACATCACTACTACTTGAAGTAGATGGAATGTTCATAACTAAAGAATCTAGGTCAGAAAACTTCAACGTGCTTTAGGAAGGTCAATAAATTTTCATCTGCACCGGTTTTATGTATTCTTAACTTTTATCGTGAGCACTGTAGTAGTTCATAATTTCAAAAATTGGCGACAGAACCCGCAGATGCAAGAAACAGTCGATAAAAAGTTCTACTTAAGTACCTTACTGTTTGACCTGATCTGTTAACTTAAGTATTAAAACTAATTGCTACAATAATTAAGCTAATGTGCCAAGTTTGTAAATGTGGGGGAGATTTCGATAAAGCTCATCTTCTATTTCGGTTGAGCTGAGAGCTAAGGAGAGGACTAAGTAATGGCAATAACAAATTTCCTTATCCTTTGGAGTTCTTACCAATGCTATTCAATTGGATAGTATAACTTACTGTCTGCTAAAATCTGATTCTGAAATACTTGTTTAGCTTCTGAACGTGCTGCTGTTAGTACAAATTCGAGAACACAATAATTCGATGCCAAGTCTGAAAATACCTGGAGTAAACTATACCAGTTAGGTGAGGCCAGAAGAATAGCCATCAAAGTAGCCAATGGCCAGATTTCAAAGGCAAAGTTTATGCTCATTACAGGAAATTCTAAAGTACTGGCCAGTGGATTTCCTTCAGGGTTTGGATGATGGAAGATCTGGGATAGAGTCTTGTAAGCTTAACCAATTAGTACTGATTACAAATGAAGAAAATGAGGGTAATGAGAAAAGTTCGGCAACAAAAACGTATGTCACTATATGGTATATGTGGAGACCATTGAATGTTATTGAGGTCACGGGCCAAACTAAAATGAACACCCACTGGAAGCCAGTAAGTACTAAACAGCTTTTTCTTCCAAGTACGGGACTCCCCTGCAGTACCATTCTCAAGCCCATTGAAGACTTCAGTTAATTCACGACATTGTTCGATCATTTCACATTGTCTTCGTTGAACAACTAACTTACACTCGATACGTTTGAACTCCATTAGTCACAGCTTCTCACTAGAATTTCGAAAATTTCTTCTCGAAGCTAGTCAATAATGTCAACATTATAATTATCATATTGTGTGTTATTGATATCACGAGACTGACCTAAATCCAGCAATTCCTGGTTTTCAATAAATGTCCAGCATAGATCTGTTCGTGATGTCAATAATACTACAGAATAGTTTAGTAACCATGAGAAAACATTATTAAATAGAAGTAAACAAATTTGTTAGATATACTGTCTATGTACCTCTTCAATGGGTGCACCTCTCAGGATACATTCTTCAATGAAAGGATGTGCTTTATCTGTTTCGTAGCCATTAATAAAATCTTATTAAATAACAAAAAAATAATAACAATCATAACAAATCGCATAAATGATATGACGACGTATAAAATATTATTGATTAATTAATTAATTATTATAGAAACCCATATTATTTGATGTTGGTGCTTTAACTGGGTTAGTGGATAAGGAGGGTCCGCCTAGGGGATCCGGAAAACCCTGATTCCAAACCAATGGTGCACATGGGTTCCAGGATCTTGAAGGAATAAATGGAGTATGAACCAATCGTTGCTGACTGGCTACCATGGGACAGCATCCCCTGACGTTGCTCCACTGCCTTGTGGATCAGATCTTTAGGTCGAGGGCTTCGGGTGTGACCCTTTGAGAAAACCACCTGTCTCAGTTTAGGTACCCAGGGAAGTATCACAACCCTCACACAAATCAATGATAACTACCACTGGCCTCATTGTTATTATGTATTTGGTGCACCCTTGTACCAAATAATTCGTATATCATATTGTCTTTATAACTGGTAGACTGTAAACTACCATGACCAATTTGCAAGATTATTTGAATTTATTGATAATAAAAAGCATTAAAAAATGGGATTAATACTGCAAGTCTGTAAATTTTATACACATAATAAAATAGATCTAAACATGTATGATAAGTATTTTGATTAAACAGTAGTTTTACTTGAAGGCCGTCTCGTCCTAGTATAGAACTCTTCACGATCGCGCACGGAAGGGGTTCAAAATCAGGACCTTCGGTCTGGCGCGTGAACGCGCGACCTATAGACTCATGAGCCGGGATCCAACGATGTTAATATCTAACTTCAACCAATGCACGACCAATTAGCGACCGTTCATCGAATCTCAGGCACATCCAGTAAATTAAGAGAAGGTATACTAATACTTTTAATCTGGGAATACAATAGTTCTCCTCAAATTATGTTATCTGTACCTTATCGATTATTTTGTTTTCAATACTATTATTCCTTCTGCTATTCTGAGATCTTTCTTAACAATTTCATCCAACTGTATTGATATTATGTGAAAACTTCAACTGGAGTAAATATGTCACAGATTCTGCGATGTTTATAAGTGACTGATATTTATTTATAGTTTTCATATACTCAATGATCTTGTTGAATCATTTCATTCACATACCTCAATAGCATACACTGTATTGAATGATTGATGTCACTTATTATTCTAAAATATCGGTTTCTTAATTTCAGTTAAGTCAGAATTTTCAGTACAGATGTCAAGACAGTTCTACTGTATGGGGTGGAAACGTGGAGAACTAAGAAAGCCATCATTCAGAAGATACAAGTGTTTATTAACAGTTGCCTACTCAAAATACTTCGGATCTGTTGACCATACACTATCAGAAACAACCTAATATGGGAGAGAACAAACCAGGTCCCAGGAAGTGATGGGAGTGCATAGGACATACATTGATGGTAGCACTCAACTGCGTCACAAGGCAAGCCATCACATGGAATCCTCAAGGCCAAAGGAGAAGAGAAAGATTAAAGAACATATTACGCCGAGAAATAGAGACAGATATGAGAATAACGAACTATTGGATAAAACTAAAAAGTAAGGTCCAGGACAGAGTGGGCTAGAGAATACTGGTCGGTGGCCTATGCTCCATTGGGGGTAACAAGTGTAAGGAAGTAAGACGATTCATTAAAAAGTTCTCATTCATAAAATAACAATCACAAAAAACGTTGCTTAAAGCACAAAAGTACATGTAATGTAAATTAGAGAAAATGGGATTTCACAAAAAACGCATAGAACATTACCCTGTTGAGCTCTTAAAATTGATAAGAAATCATCAGTGCTCACATATTTTTGTATTTCTTCTGCGAGTGAAGTATCTAGAAGAAGGTTATTTACATAGAAAAGTAACAGTAAAAAATTGGTTCGGTTCATTAAAAGATTATAGTCAGTAAACGGTAATGAATGTTTATAAACCATGGAATATGGGATAGTCTAGTATAACAGCGAAAATATGTTACTTTTGAGGTTCTGCCATCTTACTAGATGATGGTTTTACTATCACAAACTTACCGAAGTTGAAAATAAAGACCGTTTAGAATCCGACTTTGTAGTATATAAGTATTGCGTTTACCGATGAACCCAAAGGTACAAGGTACTATGTGAGGTAAAGGAATGTGAGAGAGCATTGACGAGGAGTTACAAACTAGAACAAAACAGTTATTCAGTGCTACTAAATTTTTTTTAAATTTCCAAGTGACGTCGGTCCATGATTAAAACTGACTTTCAAAAGATGTTGAGAGGAATCGATAAGTCGACTGTTTAAAAACCAGTAGTATTCTGGAAAAAAAAGACTTACGTATCTCCAGCTGTGATTGTTTTGAGCGAATTTCTGGAATTCGACTAACGGCAACGCGTAAATCGGTTAGTTCTTTGGCTGACTTGGATTGCTTGAAATGTGTATATAAAACAGAAGAATTCTACAATTAACCACTGATAAAATGGAAGAAACATGACACAATACACACCTGGCACCTTTAGTCCGTTATTCACTATACACAAAAAACTTAGTGAGATTAATTTGGTTATTGCATCTTCTGGTGTCCCATTTGCAACATACTAACATTTCACTAAAGATCATACATACAACGAAAAAATAATCAAGGTTGACGTGATCCATAAATTCGTTCACAAAAAAGTGTGTATATAGTGGTGGAGTTTTATTCTTTGAGCTTTCATCGTTACTCCGAACGACATCATCACAAACATCAGGCAGAAGTGAAGTGTTCGAACAGACAACAAAGAAAAAACAAATCTATATCGTCTGCATGATAGCTCGACGGCTGTTGTCATCCATGATGTCTTGGTATTCATGGATCCTGTAGTGTGCATTAATCATCGTTAGGTGTACCATTTTTCTTCCACTTTGCTCAGCTATTCTACATCTCATTGGGGAGTTGATTGGAGCTCGGTATTTCAAACACTTTTTGTTGTTCGAAAATGAGAGAATTTCGCTAAAATGATGGCTCCCACCCGAGAACAACTGTCTTTTGTCCGAGTGTCTTCGTCAGCACGTTTTGCCGACAAGTGTAAGAGTGAACAGAGAAAAAACTAATCAATATTTCAAAACCATGGAAGAAAATGCAAATGCACGATCAACCTGTCAAAGCAACCTCTGACAAACATAGAACACCTGCTCTGAAACGAATTGAAATACAATACAAGTGATGCCTCAGAACTAGAATTCCTCACAGTACTAGAGTCATCACTCAAAACTGACGGAATAAGTAAAGAAACGCAACAGGAAATAAGACAAACTATAGTACTGCTAATTCCGTGGAAGAAAGAAAACACCCAACTGACCTCACAAGAACGAAAAGCCTTAGCAAAAACTCAGAACTAGAGAAGATATCGTCATAGTTCCAGTAGGCAAAGGATGCACTAGTGATTACGGACAAGGAAGAATATATCAGGAAAACTGAGGAACTACTTAAGGATAAAAGTGTATATAAACCAATGAACACAAATCCAGTCAAAAAGGTTAGACAATTAAATCTCAAGGACTTTAAACAAGCTTGTCAAAGCAGGACAAATATCAAGGCAAGATCAATGGAGAATGAAATTCAGTGGACCACTACTCCCTCGATTCTGCGGTAGACCAAAAATACGCAAACCAAACATCCCACTACGTCCAAGTGTGATACTCCTCGGAACCCCAACATAAAATTTCACGAATATTGCAATACTTAGTGGATTTATCCAATCACCCCATCAAATCTCCCGTACAATTCGTGAGTAAGATTAAGGACATTCAAATCAACAACGACAAAATGATGATATTCTTTGATGCAACAGCCTTATTCATCTCAACTGAACCAAGCTTATCAAAGGAAACTCTATCCCTGCTCTTCACCAATAACACAGTCAACTTCACCGAAAAATATCAACCAAATGCATCAGCAGAAACAAAATCAAGTACAGAAACCAGCAAACGGATCATTCAACCATATATAAAAGACATAAGAAATTACGAGATTATTGAAGCCTTTTGGAATAGGTGTAGCACATAAACCAACACAATCACTTCAATCAATCCTATGCGAACCAAAGGACGAAATGGCAAAAGAAAACCGAACATCATCCACAAAATAAATTGCTCCAACTGCGAAAACACTACATCGGACAAAATGGACGCCCTCTTCACCTTCATCTGCACGAACACCAATTAGCGATCAAACGCCATGACGTATACTCACCTATATCAATGCATATGTGGACAACTGTGGACAAACGCTCGACTGGTAAAATGTTGAGATCTTGGATAGAAGAATTTCTAAAAGCATCAGCGAATTTTTAGAAGCTTGGCACTCAAGTCAATCGGCAATCAACAAACACAATGAAATTGATCCAATCTATCAACCAATCAAAAAAATCATGGACAAATATAGGACCAAGAATTAAATCAATGGGAGATACAATCAAAATAAAGAAGTAAACAGTAACACGTTAAAGGTCAACAATAACCAGTCAAGATCAAGGTCGACAAAACAAACGGTGAATCATATGTGGAGAAATTCTAATACTTCATTTTGTCATGATGTCGTTCAGAATAAGGATGTAAGTTCCACGATCAAACCATTCAGCTCAGAGATTAAAAATCCACCGAGATCATCCACATCAGCTACAAATCTTCACCATCTCAGTATGTAAATAGTAGCTGTGAATTTGTGTACATAACAATGAATTATTTGAATTCAAAGAGCATTATTTGTGTAGCGTTAGTTTAGTGGTTCAAGTCCTCTACTATCAATTACAACGTTGCTGATTACGGCCTACGTTCCAGAGACTTTAGTTTGGGCAAAAGGCTAGTATCATTAACCCTCCTGTATAAGGTGTTAGTCAAAGATGAGTACATTAGGCCGCAATTTGTTATTAAAGTGCAAAAATCAATTAAACCACAATTTTCGCCAACGAAAAGTTAGCTCCGATGTTGATATATTGTTTCATAATAATAACCAGTGGTTAGCATATAACAGTGACTTTACAAGAAAACTTGGACAATGAGATCAATCAAAGTGCATTACACGGAACGTCTTGGATATACACAATTTGATAACTAGTTTTAATAAATACTCTAGGTTGGCTTGTGCTACACGCCATTGCTTCTGGTTAGTTATAGTCTTTACAATCTAAGAGCTGTCAATGATCCATTTAAGCTTTTGGATGAACACCCAGTAAATGTTAAGAGTAACCGCAGGTCAGTTGAATCATTATTTAGTGTTCCAAGCATTTTTTTTCAGTCGTGCATAGTTCCTTATGATTCTTATGAAGACATTTCTAAGTCTATATTTATGTGTTATCTTTGTTCCTCATTACATTCAGAGATCTCACATCAAGCCACTAGATCATATAATCTGATCTAATTTATCAATTCTCTAAATAAGAAAATTACATTAATAATAACTTACTGTAACAAGTGTAGAAATTTCTTTAGTAATTTTTGATAAAATTAAACCAACTTCAGAAAATTTCTGATCTCTTATTTCAGCATAGACTACATCTGAAGAATTTAATAAGAATTTTTTTGAAGATTCATTTTCAGCTTGGAAACATGGTCGACAAATACCTATAGAAATATTTTTAAAAATATTAATTCTCATTGAATAAAGAAGAATCTAATTAGAATAACAAAAACTTTACAACATTAATAATTACAAATAATAATGAGTTACTATTATTACCATGGAAGGGTTCTTCTAAAGGTACCTGAAAAGGAAATTGGATTAGAAGTGGTCTTAGTGACCTGAGAGAGTGACCGCAGTGCCCAAGGGACAACTTCTTGAGGTAGGTCAACACGACCTTTTTGTGAGTGATTTTCTTGTTAGCGTCGTACTTGTTGAGACCTTACCGCCGGAGACGGATATCTGTGGGATAAGGCGAAGTGTGCATTTTTAGGGTCGACAATTTCTAACCCCACCCCTACATGTGGGAAAGCAGCATTGCTGTTATGCTGGTTGTCTGAAGGAAACACCTTACTGCTGTCACACCTCTGTACAGTCAGCTGTATGACTTCGCTTTCGGACCTTGAGTTTGCTGCTTTTAGTCTTACCATGGCTAGCAGTGGAATTCAGAACGCTGGATGTTTCGTCATATTTGGGACTCATCAACTTGATGTACCCTGCATCTCAGCGTTGCTGTTCACTCCGGGATTCGAACCCAGTACCATTCGCTTCAAACGCCATCGCGTTATCCACTTAGTTACTGAGTCTTGATAGACACCTGCGTGTGAAATGAGGTGAAGTTTAAATTCACTTGTTGTTTTACATGTATCTTTCGATTGTTATTTAGGACTTAGTAGCTAAGTGGATAACGCGATGGTGTTATAAGCGAACGGTACTCGATTTGAGTCCCGGAGTGAGCATCAACTCTGGGATGCAGGTACATCCAGCTGACGAGTCCCAAATAGGACGAAGCGTCGCGCGTCCTGCGTTTCACTGCTAGCCACTATCCATCTTTTCTTAAAAAACATGTGACTTAAGTCAATATTGATGCAATACGCATAATATGCACATATGCAGTCTTAAACATCAATGGAAAGATTCATGTAACACAACACCAAGTGAATTTAACAGCTAACAATTTAGAAGGGTCAGTGAAAACAGCATAGCTATTTACTAATCAAATGTGACACCAAATTATCTAATTACATGAAAAGTTAATTACTGTGACTATGGTAACAATAATGATAATAGCACTGTTTAGTTACAATTTTTAGTACTAATTATGCAATATCGAAACAAATGTACGCTTAATACATATTTAAAGTGTAATTGTTCAAAAGGGTTTTTACGAATGTTTTCAGTAGTCTATATCGATTTGAATGTCTCACTTTCGTGCTGAAAGCGACCAGTTTTAGTTTCAGTTTGTGCTTCCCACTTAGAAGGACCTAAAATATTATTGCTTCATTGTCTCCTTTAGTACGCTATTTCATGACATTTTTCAATGACATTTTTGTATTGTACATATATACATGAGTTGTGTGTTTGTTTGTTTTTTCTTCTGGGTTGATTGTAGAATTATATGTTTTCTCGCCTGAATCAGGTCTTCTTCCGTTGGTTAGCAGGGCTGGCGTGCAGAGGAATAGCTTAGCTTGTCCTGTTATTATGTTACTGACCTCTATTTCGTTTATGGTAATATTAAATCATATGTTAAGAGTTAGTTATGAGATGTAATAATATGATGGAAATGTCCAACAAGATATACACAAATGAAGAACAACAGATAGAAACTGTTGTATTACGGAAAGTGGTGTAAAGTAAGTTACTAAAATGACGGGTTACAGAGAAGTATAGCACATACAACCATTATGATAACAGAAATATTGTAGGTCATCAAGTAATGGGTGATGGAAATTTCAAGTGCCTGGTTGTGAAAAATAAAAACATAACATTAACAAACCATCGAACTATATATTGTTACTTAGAATCAAACTGTGTCACTAGCACTTCCCAGAAGGTGATTTATGTGCTATTTGCTTAAACAGAGTGAAGGTTTAGTCATGACGATCGAATTTGTGACCACAACGATGTTACTCATACAATTTAATTACAACCATAAATATAACTATTTAGTTTAGCTGTAATTCGATTAAACGAAACGTTTAAGCTTACCAAAACGAATACCCCATTTCTCATCAACTAGTCCCGCATACGTTAACTGATTTAACAACGGAGTCAAAGGATCAACAGCCCGATCAATAAGAATTAATAATTCAGTTTGATTTTCAATTTCATCTAATGCAGTGACTGATGGTTGATGTTCATTTGTAACTTTGGCTTCATCAGACATACGCCGCAACATTTTGGCCACTCCCTGAAGAATGAACGTATTTGAAATAAATATAAATAGATGTAAATTTATCTACACGATTTATAACTTGGAATATATCAGAAAAAATTATTTAGTTATAATTTTTGCTGAGATTTTTACATACCACTTATATTGTTCGTGAATTCTACAAAGCAGTGAGAAATATTTAAACATTGTGATGTATATAACATTAAAAAATTTAATAGTTGAATTCATCAGTCAATTAAAGCTAGACCACCATGGAAAATCTGGAAGTACTGAACGGCCGTTTCGTTCTAGTGTAGGACTCCTCAGCAGTGCGCATCCATGGTAACACCTCACGAGATTCGAACCCAGGTTCTACCAAATTAGTGGTGAAGCGCTCGCGCATGAGACCGATAGGTTCTGGGTTGGAATCTCGCGAGGTGGGACCTTGGATGCGCACTGCTAGGGTGTTCCATACTAGGACGAAACGGCTGTCCAGTGCTTTCAGGTTTTTCATGGTGATCTAGCTTCAATTGATTCATGAATTCAACTATTAAATTAATAAGATATCCACAAAAACCCTTCTCTGATAATAAGACATTTTTCAAACAAAATGTTAAAATACGAAATGTCACTATTTTTACAACTTCAGAATTTTATAACTTTACACTATTCAAAAAAACAGAACAATTAGTCTTTTTTTAAAGTATATCATTAGATATAACTCTGTATATTGTCTAATACACATACATTAAATTGATATACTAACACATTAAGTTTTATATGAAACTCTATATGAATAATCACTTACTATGGCCGAGAGTGGGTTCGCCCTCCCTCTCGAAATGCTCTCACACGGCGACGCATATACAGCCTCTGCCAGGGAAGTCCTACTAATTGCCTTCTCGTGGCGGGGGTGTTGTTTACGAAAATGAGAGGACGAAAAGCGAATGACCGGCGCTTTAACCGGATCCCAAACCAATGGTGCACAAGGGTCCCAGTATCCTAAAGGAAAAAATGGCGTATGAACCAATCGTTGGTCACCGGCTTCCATGGGAATGCATCTCCTCACGATACTTCATTGCCTTGTGGATCAGACCTTCAGGTCAAAGGCTCGGGGTGTGGCCCTCTAAGAAAACCACCTGCTTCGGTTTGGGCACCCGGGCAGTATCACAGCCACACACAAATATGGTGTGGCGCATATATATTTGGTGCCCTCTTGTACCGATATTTATGTGTTGAAATAAATAAATAAATAAAATCACTTACGATAGCCTTTTCACCTTTAGCATAAATTTTTGGGAACAAACCAAAAATTGATTGAAATCGCATCAAACCTTGTACAAATTGATAGACACCATCCTGACGTTCGGAAATAGAGTAATTCTAGATGAAAATAATATAATCATTGGATATGATAAAGAAATACAAAGACAAACAGCAAAACATTGCGAATCTTCCATTGAGAGAACATCACATTCTACAGGTACTATTGTTAGGGGAAATTCAGATATCATGGCAAATTTATTGGTCATCTTTTTTTCTTTTAAAAAACTTTTACAAGCAAGGGAAATTCTTGGAATGGCAATAATACTATATTGTTTTCCAACACTTTGATTGGATTGTGAATCTCTATTTTTAAAACAATTAAAAAAGATCACAGAAGACTACTTACCTTACTAAAAATGATTGTACAGAGTCAATAATACTAACTTTTGGACTGACAATGAATATTACAGATTTACACGCCGAAGGAGAATAGGAATCTTTGGCAGATTGGAGAAGAAATGAATTTATGACACCATGTTTCTAAACGTTTTTAAAGATTATAAACGCTATCGAAATTACTTTCAAATCCGAATTGTTTACTACAGAACTCATATGGGCTAACAGATCTTTCTCCCAATATATAACCTACAATAGATTAAAAATAAGATCTACGTAACGTTATACCTTAGGTGAAGGTTGAGCATCGATGTAGCTGAAAAATTCGTTCTGATAGCTTTCACGCAACAGGTCTATATTCAAAGGGCCTTCTGTTACATGAATCATAGCAGTTATAAAGTGCTATTTGTTGACTTGTTCCACCAACGTAATATTTTTGAAAAGTAAAGAGGATTGATTTAAAGATTTATACCTAAGATATCAAGAAAGAGAAAACTTTGGAAGAAGGGACTTAGAAGATGTGAACCGGAAGTGGATCAAGATAAAACAAGCAAACAACTTTTTTTAACTTATATACCGGGTGCATATTCGTGCAATTGGCATAGAACCGCACAATGTGTGAAGGTTAATGATAATACCTAATCGAACAAACCCAAATGAGTCAGACTTTAACTTGTGACCTAGTTGTTGAAAATGACAGCAAGTGTTACAATGGCGTGGTGTTTGAGCTTGGAGATCGTAATAATCTGATTGTGTTGTATTGGCTGAAACACCTGTTCCTTTGAGTTCCGCCACTCCAAACAGCTAGGTTGGAGAATAGTAAGACTAGAGGCAGCAAAGTTCTACTGATGACGGTATAGGGGTGAAGTGGCAGTACGGTGGTTCTCTCAGATAATCAGCATGTGCAGCAAATATGCCCTCTCATGACGAAAGAGACTTGAAGAGGTCAACCACAAAACTTTCACACCTGATCATACCTCACGGATTTATGTTTCCGCCAATGAGACTTTTCAAGTACGAAGTTAACACATCCATAACTTCTGGCGAGAAGGCTTGTATGTGACCATTTTTAGGTAGTCGTTCCTTGGTCTCTGTGGTGTCACTAAGACTACTACTTATATAGTTTACCTTTCAGGTCCCCAAAAAATATACTTCCACAATGTGAGCAACCGAGAAGCCACAACTGCTCCCACACTTCTGATGGCACCAAAGTTGCAGCAGACGGTCGCCATTACCTTTTCGCTGAGCCGTGACACCGTAAGACCCATCTAAGTGCCTCTTGATTTGCTCTACTCTACTTACTTCGGTGTTAAAATTACTTACCACTATTAATAGATCTGAACGCCTAACTTTGTGAAGGTTGTCTGCTGGTGAGGGCGAAAGTGATGAGATCGATTTACGCACAGCGAAGGCCAGAGTAGTTTGTTTAAATATGGGCCATCTTTGGTGCCGTAATGATGTTAGTCTGGGTTTGGTTTGCAATGCGTCGGCGAGAGAAGTTTCTCTCGATGTTTGTGAAACTTGGCCACTCCGAGATGAGGATGTTATGACTGTGTTTGATCACCATTGTCTACGAAGGATTGCTGATATTCAATGGAAACACCATGGTAGTGATATCGGTTTTCGATTACCTATATTCGGGCATAGTAACGATAATTCAATCGATGTCACCATCTTGAAATATCGGCTTCAGTGGTTCGGGCATGTGCTACGAATATCGTTCCAGAGAATCTAACAATGCTTCACAGGACCACTTGGTCAGTATACACAGGATAGCTGCATATGACTGGTACCCTTCGGTCCTTCATAGCTCCCTTCTAGGGATCTGAGTCATACCGATTCAGTAGCTTATGACAAGTTCAGAAATGGCTCTACACAAAAACCAATGAAGGCTCTGTTGTGATTATTCTGCGATTTTTTCCAGTTGTATTTATCTTGGCTGAACTGTTTTTACCACTACACACTATTTTTGTTCGCTCGTTTTCATTCATTTACTGCTTTTGATTACAATCACCCACGTATTTCTATCTCTTTACAACCTTATTTTTTTACTGTATGGTACATAATCATTTCTTACCTATTCGTATTAATATTAGTAGATAAGGATTGCCTGCTTGGTGACCGCGTAATACCCACAACTGATGGTGAAACACTTTGGGTGACATGGCTCAGAATCGTTAACACGCCCCTACGTGTATTCACTTTTAATCTTCTTGATTTTGAATTTCAGTATGCCCTCATACATACCTTTACCTTTTGTATTCTCAAACCATATTCCAAATGTTCAATATTTCTATTGTTGCTACTACAATTTGATCTCATTTTTCATCTCGTCATGACGAGCTGGTGACAACTATGGCAAACGTATATCTATGACAGGCTCTATGTTGATGATATCTGTCTATGACTTGAATCGAAACCCCTTAACTACCAAGTCGCAGTCAAAAGACTAACACTATACTTCACTCTGCAGTAGAATAAACGTTGATATTTTATGCACAACCTTGGAGCGAGGCAGAATTAACCTTTCGAGTGTTTACCCAATAACTAGCACCGAATGGGTGTTATAAACCTGTATCGGGAATTAGAATTATGATTTACAGTTGATGTTTAAGGTTAAGAATTAGATTTGGAGGTTTTCATCACCGACGGAAATCAGCTATAATGTCTAAACTCTATTTAATCAAATGGATGAGTGGGTTTCGCACCAAAATTAGTGTATATATTTTTCAATAATCGAAAGCTGATAGAGAAACCCTGAAATATGCAGCGTTCATGAACGTTACTACATGAGAACGCAGTGCCGATAAACAAATCTGGTGTTTAAACTAACATTTTAGGATCTGGAAATGTTAATTATTTACTCATTAATTAATTAATTAGTTAATCAATCACCCACTCATGACAAGGGATTGAAATTCCCTCCCGACTATCGCTTTTTGACTGTCGCGCCATAACCGAATATACAATATCTTCATGTCGTGAGGGTTTAAATCGTTTAATTTTCCGTTACATTCATCAAATATAAACGAACGAACTGAGGAATAATATGCAAACTATCTTGGATATATATTTGAAAGATGGAATTAACATATATCAAAAGTTACCTGTAGACGTAGCCTTCGTTGATTTCAGCAAAGCTATTGAGAAATTTCCGCACAACTGGCTATTATATAAGCTAAGGAATGTCGGAACTACAGGAAATCTATTGATGTGAACAAAAAGCTTCTTAGTTTGGCCCTAACAAAGAGTACGGGTGAACTCAAAGTTATCTAGATGGGAAACTATGCTTAGTGGAGTGCCCCAGGGTACAGTTTTCGGGCCAGCGCTATTACTCTTGTATTTAAATGACCTCCTCGTCTACTACCATCATCGGTCCTGCTATACGCTGGCGATTTAAAGATATGGAGAACGATACGATGTAAGGATGATAGATTAGAACTCCTAAAAATGACCTGGAGAAATTATCTGAATGTTATCAAACCTGGAATTTGCCGACAAATACTTCCAAGTGTGTTGTGATGCATGTCGGTCATCAAGGTACTGATACATACACGATGAATAACACTGAGCTACCTGTCGTCCAGACACATAATGACTTAGAAGTCATCGATAGCCAAGACTTAAAGACAACTGCACACTGCCGTGCAATAGCTGACAAAGGTTTTAGAACATTATGGTCAATACGTAGGGCTTTTAGTCATGTCAACGCTAAAACGTTTTCGACCTTGTGTACAGTGTTCATACGTCCTAAACTTGAGTACTGAATACGAGCGACTAGCCTCTGCTTAAAAAAGGACAGTGAGCTTCTGGAAAAGTTTCAGAGAACATCAACTAAACTGATTTTTAGAATAGCGAAGCTTCCGTACAATGCTCGACTGCCAAGCTAAACCTTTTACCGTTGTCATATCGTAGAACTAGAGGCGACTTGATTACAATTTTCAAATCGCTTGGTGATAAATTTGCACCTGATATGCCCTCATTTTTCTCATCTTCCAAAACAGATAATTAACGAAAACACTCCCAAAAGGTTCACAAGCCCAGAACAAATTACTTGTCAGCTGACTGTCGATTTTTCCATCAAACCATCAACGAGTGAAATTCATTATCTCAGCGCGTGGTTGAGGCTGCATCCGTCGACTCTTTCAAAAGAAAGTTGGATCAACTGAGAGACTACCATTGCCAGGACTAACACAGGCAACCAAGCCTCCTATCCTTTCCAAACTGAAACTGAAACCGATATACAGTAGTGTTAAACGAATAAAATAGGAATGAAAGGACACAACTGAGCTTAAGCAATGGTAGCATTGGAATAAAACCATAAATATACATCTTTTTAAAAAAATCAGACTTATATTGAAAATGGCACTCAAAATCACAAACGATTTGTAAGGCCAGTGAAATGTCACTGAGCCCTGGCCGAATCATCCGGCAGTTGGGTCACTGAATATCGAACAGGCCATCGATCCCTGTCAAAGTCAACGACAACCAACGCGAATCACATAGTCGTATACCATGGACTTGCCAATAGGGTGGTGGTCCCCACTCATTGGACACAGATCATCTACGTCGGTGATCTACAGATTGTACTAAAATAGGAGCACAGACAACAGAATACCCAGTAACTATATGGCAGTGAAATAAGTCCAGGACTGTATCAGATGACTGATTTAATCTGTATTGTATTGGAATGAATTGAAACTGTCCGGAGTGTTGATTTTTCAGCGTGTCTCAAGTATTAATGCACTCATAACAAACAACAGGACAAAGAAATATTGAGGACATTAGAGTGTAAGGTATTCTAATCAATCACAAAACTAAGCACAAATTCACTAACAGAATTGAAATCTCATGCATTTTATAATCATCCGCTGTCATATATCGTATTCCAAAGTGACTATAAAATTAAATACATTTATCAAGCGTTATTAAACACTACATTTAATTAAGCTTGCTTCATAGAGCGAATATAATGTTCTAACTCTTTTGTATCGCCAACTGGAGATTATCGAGCCACTGATTTTAGCGAAAATGACGTTGATTCGGAGGGCAAAATGATTTGAGCACTTGGGTTATGCGGGTGAGGATAAACTCCACTTTCTTTCTGAACTTATTTAAATATATCACCTTCCTTTCTTTTTCTTTGAAGTCAACTCAATATTTCTCTAAATTCTATGGGAACCCTTTAAATATGGAAGAAAATAGATATATTTTATCGAAACTTGTATATAATTGCTTTTCTGAAGAAACCTAAAATGGTTTTATCACTACAATTACATACCAACCAACCATTCATGAGTAACCAGAGTTTCACCACTAACTATACAATCAAAAAGTTGGTCAATAGAACAAACCATCAGTAATATGTGTATAAATTCGAATATTTCCCGTTCATATGAAGTTTGTGATAAGGCTTTTCTGAAAAACAATGAAAGCTTCACAAACAAACCATACAACGTGCAAAACGCAACTCTACGAAATGTATACATCCGAGCTGCAAATCTGCCTCTGTCTCAGATTCCAACACTAATTTTCAAAGGAAACTTAAGTGTAGGGAACCACTTTGCGTTCGCTTAAATTAGAATTTAAAAGTGCAGAAAAAGATTTCGGTTATATATCAAACTCCAGCACTTAAGACAACATTAATTAATTTTGGGATAAATCCGTGATTAACTTGGAATAAGAGAAAGAGATTCAAAGTTTCACCTGAAATTTTCAAATGTATTGATAGGCTTTCATCTGAAATTGAAAACACAATCATGAAATTTCCGGAGTAGTTTCAAGAACTTCAGCTGACTCGAGTTAAATTTATCTAAGTCATGTCCACTTTGTTCTTTTTTTCCAAATTTGAAACAAGGTACGGCGAGAGTTTCCACAAAAATCTAGTTCAATTGCACGATTTCTGGGACAAACCAAAAAAGTCATTAAACGGTCATTTAACACAAAACAGTTATTTATACAAAGAAATAATCTAACAGTGAAATGACGGTTTTGATAGAAATAATTACCACTCACAAGCAAAATTATCCTTCATAGTGAAAATATATCATGATTGCATACATATGTCAATAATAAGTAGATCCAATGTTGGGAGATACGGTTGTTAATCGACGGAATTTACGTCATTTTGATACAACAAACTGTAGAAAATATTTCATACCGCACGAATCTGAAGAAACAACCGCTCTGATTCAATACGCTTATCCACTTCACATACAAACGTTCTGTCAATTATATGAGTTTTAGTAAAAAGACCAATTATCTTACTATCCACATTTAGGAAAACACTAAGCTTAATCACATACATAGATCACGTCAGATTTCATTACAAGAAAAGATGAGTTCCATTTCACAACGTTCTTATTCACTGAATCTCAATCTTCTATCTCGACACAAATTCCAAACACACATTAAAACGATTTGCGATATCACTTCTCCAATTGGAAAAAGAAAACCAATGTTTGTTGTATGTGGGTGAGTATTCGAAGCACACCATAACACACAATACAACCAACCATAATCCTACAAGTAGTTCATCTAAATAATACTCTCATCAATCAAATACTTCAACTTGAATAGTGATTTACCACTGCAGTAGTGAGACTGAGACTAACCGTTGCAATTGCGAAATCAACTTCCATTAAGATACTAACTAACATTTTGACATATTGAATCTACTTTGTAAAACTTCTCACATCTATATGTAGACTAATTTCCATTTACGAAGCATACAAATTGAGCTACTCCTGACATGTATATTGTAGAAATAACCGGATATATGCAAACTAGAAATAACTGATGTATTTGTCAATCGAATATTCTCTAAATTCATGTATGTTAGACAACTGTGATCGTAGATGTGGAGGGGTGGGGTTCAGTAAACATCATCGACGTATTCATCTTTGCTTCTACATGTGATCATAATATTCACATATAATGAAACGAGTAAATGGAAGTAATAGTATGATGTCCACTCATGTAGACCATATTTTAAAAAAAACTGAACAAAATTCATTCTTGAGTGTCAGAAATATAAAAATATGAACTCTTATTAGTAATTAAGGTTACTCAACCTGATGAAGTCGGTAAGTATTAATACCTTAACCGTTTAATATTGTTCATCCCAGTGCTGGAGTTCACATCATGACTCAAAACCAGTACGTTCCTCTACAAGAACATACAACGTTATACACTAGACTGATGGGTCCAGATAACCACTAGGTTATGACGACGGCTATAATATTTTTACGTCTCTTATTCGCCCGCCAAAACTTGTATCTATCTAGAATAATGCCTTCACTTGATAGGCTATCTAGTTAAACATTGAGGAAAATCGTAAATAATGCCCCCTGGGCAGAGCGACTAAAATTATTCCCTCAACTGATTGGTTGACAAACGAGAGAGAGATATATAAAGAAGATGGGTGACATTAAACTGATTGTAGTTTTTTTGCATCTCTAATATTAATTTTTGATAGTATGACTATATAAACATTAAAGAAATAGTGAATATCAGTAGTTGAGATCATGAGTCAATTAAAGCTAGACCACCATGGTAAACCTGAAAGCACTGGACGGCCCTTTCGTCCCATTGTGGGACTCCTCAACATTGTGCATTCACAATCTCGTTTGCATGATTCGAGAGGTATTACCTGGAGTTCTAGTGAAAAGCCGTTACCAGTGGACTTCAGTCAGGTCTGTTATGAGATAGTAGTTCACTGAAGACAGTGGCGGAGGTGTCACTGAATTTCGTGGATTAGTTGAAGACTGATGTTAACATTGTTGGATGCCGGCCAACTCAGTGGTCTAGAGGTTAAGCATTCGCACGCAAGACTGTTAGGTCCTGGGTTGTAATCTCGCGAGGTGGGATTGTGAATGTTCACTGCTAAAGAGTTCAATACCAAAACAAAACGACCGTCCAGTGTATCCAGGTTTTCCATGGTAGTCTAGCTTCAATTGAC